AATTGCGGGTAGTAAGATATACCCTGGAGAGAAATTCAACCGTAACAATCGCTTTCTTTCAGAGTTACTTCGTAGTGTGGGTGCACCTGTGGTGTAGAGTTAAGTCTTAAATTACTAAGGAGCACCCAAATTTGTCGGAGCTAGTGTGCACGAGTCGGAAGCAGAAAGAACAGTGCTGCAACGCGCGTCTCGAGCAGCTTGATTGAGATCGGACGTGTAACATGTAAATTTGCTGTCTTTTATTTTTCAAAAAAGTCAGGTGCTTAGTCGTAGTTCTAGAGTTTAAGACTTACATACGTGTGTTCTTAAGATGGTGTTAGCAATTATTTCACGGGGAGATACCAAACGATTACCTTGGAAAAACCAGAGTCAAAAATGAAAGTTCTACGTCACGGATTGCTTTGGAGAAGCCAAGCAGTCGCAACGGAAGCAATCGCTGTGAAGCAGTCGTTTGCGCATTTATCATGTAAATATTTCAAAATAATCTGTTTTCTTATGTATTGTCTTATGTATAACTACTTCACAATACACTTTTTAAATTAAATGGATATTGATTCATATATTGTAAGTATAAATAGGCCTATCTAGCTTGAACTTTGTTTGATAACCATCTTACAACTTTTGCATTTGTGTATATATACACTTCATAATATAAGTTTTTTAAAAAAAGACATTTAAATTTGAAAATCTTATGGATGTGTTGACTTTAAAGAATGAAATATAAACAGTTCATAAAAAATTAAAAGAAATGTTTTGATTGAAGAGATAGGTGAAAGTAAACGATTAACTAAATTTAGGAAACAGAACGTCTCTGAAAACAAAAAAAAGGAAACTTTTACACCTACTGGGTAACAGCCAGGGACAATAGATACTTCAGTCCAAAGCAGAAACAATGGAAAGGAACAAACTTTAAAAANATACACTATCTTTTTATCTCTTCAGGTAAAATAAATACTTCTAAATCTATTTCACAGTTGTCTGTTTTTACCAATAAAAACAAGTTGCGACAATATAATATTTTTTATTTATTACAAAAAATATTTGTGATGAAGCTATGGATCAGTGGTGCCTGATGTTACCATAATTCAGTGTTTCAGGTTGTTTCATGGTGAAAAGAATCACAAAATGAAATTAGAAAACTAACATTCAGGCATCATATCATGTTCAACGTAATTGGAAGTTAAAATTTAATGTGAAAGAAGAGCATAGTGCTTCATGAAGCACAGGGAAATCAGGTCCTTTTTACATTGAGTGATGCATTATAAGGATACAGTTACCTGTACATATTGTATGTGCTGGTGTACCGAAACTGAGAGTCCATGTAACAGAAAGTCCCCCCTTCTTATAGTCATAGTGGTAAGGGTTAGTACGTATAACCTAAGTGGATCAAAATCTAGAGCGAGGCTTACCTGTACAAATGAATGGTAAGCAGACTCTCTATCATGGAGGACTCTCTCTCACATGTCACCGCTTATTTCGTGAAGAATCGCTTGAACGAAGCCTTCATGCTTGCTACCCTCTACCAGGGCGGGATATATTATTGGCATATTTTCCACCAGCCACAGTTAGAAGATTGACCATATTTTGTGAGAAAAATTATCTGTGGATATCTGGTGAAAAATCAACCTGTGGCCCTGGTAGAGGGTACGTGCTCGATACGGTCTTGGACAAATAATACACAGGACTGGAATCGCAAGGAAAGATATCAAGGATAATAGGGTTAGTGCACCCCACTCACAAAGTCAGCTGCGTTTGGATCATATGGCCTCCACTACAGGTAGAGCGGGGGCGTCTCGATAGTCCGAAGGTTCATTGGTCGGAAGGTTCATTGGTCCAAAAAGTGGTAACATTTTTATCGATTTTTTAATCAAGGGTTCATTGGTCCGAAGGTTCTATAGTGAACATTCGGACCAATGAACCTTCGGACTATTGAACCTTCGGACTATCGCTACGGCCCCGGTAGAGCAAGATCGCTGTTGTCGCTGACCTCTATATAATTTAGACAATGATGGCTTCGCGTCTTATGTCCAACGTTCATCGCATAACAATCACCGTTGGGTTGACGGTGAACATTCTATTTAAAATGATTTTTTCAGAAGCAAATTCTTATAAATGATTTAATATATAGAATAAGATAAAACAGAGCCTTTGTTGAAAAAAAATTTTATAATAAAATAAAAATATGGTAAAAGGACCAAAACAATGGGGCAATAATTCTATGTATACTGAAGCTTTTCTCTAACATTTTCATGCTAAATGCATTCCAGATTAATATGTAAACCACATAAAAGATTCGATTAGGACAAACATATTTGGGAGTTTATCTTTACATGTTCATATACAGAAAAGAGAATATATTACAAGTACTGGGAGGGACATTCATATTTAAATCTCTTTGTAAAAAGTCACAGCAAAATTCTAATCACCATAGCCCCAGTGAGTTTTTTTCTTCCTTAAAGTCAATATTGTCCCAGAATTGTAACAGAATTGTGGGAAATCCTCTGATGAAACCTGCTGGTATATCATTGGAAGACAGCAACTGGAGTCAGACAATACTGGCCTCTAGGCCTACAGTGGTTAAGTATATGATGTTGCTATTTTAATTATCAATAATGAGCAGTTGGGAAGTGTCTTAACTGTTGTCAGAGACAGAGCCATGCAGTTACTTCTGAGTAATTTTCCTCCCTTTAAATGCTAATTATACAATATCTTGACAGATTGACAGCAGCTTGGTGTGAGTTTCTTCTGACAAAGAGAGATTATCTAGTGTTGGCTCTTTAGAAGCCGAAATGGCCCAAGAAAGAAAATAAGCTCATTTGGAACAACTTCTTTGGCTGATACATATGTAAATTCACTGGAAGAGAGAGGTCATGGTGTGGTATGTGTTTTTAAGTATCACACCAGTTTTCCATCATTCATTTCTGCTGTTCTTCTCCTTGGAACTGTCTCCTCCTTCCTCCTCAGTTTCTGTCCTTGATGTAAGTACCAGAACTTGCATTTCTCCGACTTTTATGAAAAACAAGCTGTGGAAAATCTCTCATAAGCCATATTTTGATATGGAAGCGTGTAAGGGTCACAACACCAACTCCAAAAACAAAACTCACAACACCAACACCAAAAACAAAACTCACAACACCAAACAAAGAGCGTTTTAAACAAACCTGAGTATCATGTATACCATATCATGTCTGCACTATATGACCACTCACACTTGACCACTTCAGTGGCCATTAAAGAATAATCAATCAATTGTCAAGCCTACACATTAAAGAGTAGAGGCAGTTCCAACCCTTCAAGATGTTAAGTTTGTGTCTTACTTTTTTACACAATAAAGCTTAATTGAGATTTCGGATTCAGCTGTGCGGCTGTTGGGGCACAGTGTTTATTAAAATAAAGCTCACCAGTAATGTAAGGTGTGGTCCTTGTAGAAATAATAACGTAACGTAGAACAAATTAAGAGTCAACTGTCAATTTTTGAATCTATTCCTACATATCAATCAATCCAAGCTACATTTGAGGATCGCCAATTATTCAAAAATCATGTTTTTCTCATAGTTCTGGCGAAGAACGCTGATTATGTGATATTCAGGCATCAGCCTCAACTACAGAAGTTGTTAAACATGACTTAAACGATTTAACATTCAGAAGCGAGGTACACATGACTTATGAATGTTAAGCCCGAGAAGTGTCTCAAAGTTAATTAGCTTGCAATGGTTTAAGGCCCTTTGATTGAACAACCATATATTCCATCATATTTTAGTTTAAAGGTAAAAACTAAAATAGGATAGAAAATATGGTTACTTTGGTTGTTTTGGCAACAACAAGCACGGGGAGCATTTTAAACACAAGTCTAGTAGCAAACTTTAGAATCATATGTATTATATGTTTGCACCAAGTTACTATGCCAACTTGACCGACTTCAGTAGTCATTGAAGAACAATCAATCACTTGTCAAGGTTGCAAATTAAAGAGTAGTGGCAATTCCAACCCTTCTAGAGAAAATGGTCTATTTTAATCTTAATCAGATCATCTAAGATTTTTTCACAGAAGCAGGATAGACAGCCGTGCCAAGCAACCAAAGTAACCATATTTTCTATCCTATTTAAGTTTTTACCTCNTCCACTTATCGTGTTATCGGTAAAAGTGCACGGCGACAATGGCGCCGACGGCGCCGACAGATGCAGATGATGGCTATATGTACAGACACATCTGTGTCTGTACATAAAAAGTAAGACACAAACTTAACATCTTGAAGGGTTGGAACTGCCTCTACTCTTTAATGTGTAGGCTTGACAATTGATTGATTATTCTTTAATGGCCACTGAAGTGGGTCAAGTGTGAGTGGTCATATAGTGCAGACATGATATGGTATACATGATACACAGATTTGTTTAAAACACTCTTTGTTTGGTGTTGTGAGTTTTGTTTTTGGTGTTGGTGTTGTGAGTTTTGTTTTTGGTGTTGGTGTTGTGAGCTTTGTTTTTTTTTTGGTGTTGGTGTTGTGAGTTTGTTTTTGGTGTTGGTGTTGTGAAGTTTGTTTTTGGTGTTGGTGTTGTGAGTTTTGTTTTTGTTTTTGGTGTTGTGACCCTTACACGCTTCAACAGATACCACACTGCAGCCTTGTTGCAACTGGTGTGCGACAGGTTGCAGATCAAAATATGCTTAAGCTTATCCAGTTCGCTAAGTGATCGCAAGCGACCGCCAGATTTTGAGGTTACTAAAAGATTGCAAGCGCAGTGTAACCCAGACACTATAGCGGCAGTGCCGAAAATAGGGCTTTCTTCAGTTTTGACGGAATATTTCTTAATGATTTTAGAGAAGCATAACCAACACAAGTTTTCAATATAATATAAATTTGTTGAACATTCAGAAACTGTGACCAGCAAAGGTATTCAAGCCTGTACTTGAAATTTTGATACTTCCTTTGTAAAAGATTAAAATTTGTTTGACAGTTTTGAATATATATATTTAAGTAACAAAGAAGCACTTACATGGTGAAAATAAATATTTATTTTTTAACACGAATAAGGCATAGCTTCTTGAGATGGATAGATATTAAGATAGTAATGATGATGTAGTACAAACCAGATCTGTTATAAATGTTAAATAACAGTGAGTTTACAAATAACCTTCATCAATTCCACGTACAACAATAGCAATATACAGTGCATAAAATACATTTGGCAGTAATTCTAGTAGGATTTGCTTCATTTCTTGGAATGACTTGAAGAAGAAATCTACAAATTCTTGAAACTTAGGAATTACATGATTAAAAAAAAAAAAAAAAACTGACTCAAATAATTGGATTCTAAAAATAAAGAACAAAATTGAACCACGGCTGAAAAAGGGTCTATCAGACAAAAATTTTCTTGGATAATACATTCAAAATAAGTCATAATATTCAATCTAACATTCCTCAGACTAATTCAATCAGATAAGTAGACCTTAATAAAGATAAAGTTTTTTTTTAGAAGTTATCTCGTATTTCAACAAAAATGCAAAGTACATAATGAATGCACCAAAGAATCATGATTTCTATTATCAATATATTAAGTTGATATGTGTGAGTCACATAGGATTAAAATCCTTGCATTCTAGTGCATAGTTTTATATTCCAAAAAGAGAACTACTTGACAACCCTTATTTCAGTTAAGGTAGGGTTTAGAGGTATGATATTCTTGAAAAATACTATAAAAATTGTTATAAGGAAATGTAATGAAACCTACAAATATCTCTTCTTCCATCCATTTTATATCACTGAGAATAATGTCCTGATGTTACATATTTTTTTTTCACTTATAATAGCCAAACATAACCTGCAAGTATCTCTACCCGTGCCACAACGAAAAAAATCTCCAAATGAGAAATTAAGAAAAAATAAATAAATAATAAAAGTAATAATTTAAAGTAAGTAAATAAAACAATGATAAAAATATTATATACAGAAAATGATTCTTGTAGCTACTTGCCATTCTAGTCTACTGAAAGCACATGTACAATTGACTGAAACAAACCATTATGCCAGCATAAGCCCATTGTGCTTTTGACTCTATATTACTTCAAAGTAATAAAGGACCAAGTCATTTTGCACTCTAGGTTTGAAAATAAATACAGATAACACAGGCATACCCATGTACAGTTTTGTACACCTCCAACTCTCCAAAAATTAAAAATAAATGAACATTGATGGTTTTCAATAATTTACACTATTTTTAATATGACACTAAAAATATGACCTGGCAGTATGTGTTGAAAACTAAAAAGTTATACTTAATACCTTTATCCACCTTCGTAAAATTATTGAAAGAAATGCTCTGATGATATACTTGTTTCTTTTTTTTTCTAATAATACTCAACACCACTGTGCGAGTTGTGAATTTCACTCAGTGAGAAAAATTTGAATTTAAGTAAAGAAAATAAAACTATTTAGTTTTAAACCATAGCTAATTTATACAGCTAATCCATTGAAATCATTTATATAACTGAGACAAACAATAGCGACAAACAAATCGACATCCTGGACACTACTGTAGGTCCATATGAACAGTGTTTGGTAGAAGTATAGAAGAGAGTCCTCCAAAGGCCAGAAATCCAGCTACAAGTAACATTGGCACAGCACAGTGGACGTCCACCATTAAACCAAAAGCCAAATTCCCTAATATGGCGGCTACTCTCATTAGCCCCGTCATCACACCCATGGCTGTGGACCTGGAGTCAGAAATGGCAAACATCTGATTTCTCGCTAGCACACTTTCTAAACATTTTTTCACATTCATTTGATGTTTTTCAAATTTATTTAATGTTACTTATCAAATGTTACTTATCAAATACCTGCCCATCAATCAATTTGTGTTTATGGTGCAAAGAACCTATTTACAGAAATATCCAAAACCATAACCAAAACAAATTTAACCATCGACCTTGAATATTTCAGGCATTCATAAGCATGAAAAAAAAAATCAGAGATGGATTTAAGAAAACTTTTCTTGTTTAAATACAAAATGTTTACAAAGCTTTTTGATCAAAATTACTTTTAGTTATATAGTTTGGGAGGAGACCAGGGCATATTACTAGTGAAATAAATGAAATAATACCTTACATTTTATCTATTTTAAACTGACAATATCTGCTCACAACCTTGAAATACTGATTTATTCAAACAACAGAATACTATTAAATGCCTAATTTTGCTTAATATTTACCTCAAATGTGTTGGAAAGAGTTCTACACTCAATACATCTAGTGCATTCCATCCTATAGTAGATATTCCACCAAAGATACAGGACATGATCAAACTCTCCGTCTTGTTCTTTACAAACCAGATGAAGAAAACACTGATGCCTGATATAACCATGCTAGAAGCTGAAATACACAAAAATAATTTCCAACAGGATGCAGTTGACATTCAAAATAGAAAAAAGAAAATAGAAAATAAGACAATTAAGATTTTTAGAAAGTGATTTGTAAAAAGTAAAATAAAAAGAAAAGATATATTCCAACAGCATAAAAAATCAAGTTTCTGTTAAATTTCCCTTAAATGTCATTCCAAAACCATATACAAAAACACTTGGTATGTTACACAATTTAAGTATTACTTACACAACAAGAATTTTCTTCCAACTCTGTCCATTAAAAGAATACTAAGCAAATTCCCAGGAAGATTTGACAAAGCCGTCATGAACCCATCAAAGAAGATCTCAGTGCTTGAACCTTTCTCGTGGGTGGAGTGGTTTGTACCATTTGGCTGTACCCCTATATTTTCACATGCTGACCCTCCATGAAGTTCTATTCTTTTAAACAATTCTGGGAACCACATCCAGAGACCATAGTAGCTGAAAACATAAAAACAAGTTAAAACATAAGTCATACAATCATTTGTGACTACATATACTTGCCTGTTCATAAAATATTTCATTAAAAACAATTATTTTGGACCAATCCAATATATTTTTGCAGGTTTTACTCAATAATTTCAATCATTTTGAAATGTTGAACTGCTTACAAAAGGATGGGAGATTACAAAGAACAATACCAGACTCACCCAAAGGCTAATGTGAAACTGATCATTGCCACAATTAAAGTGATTCTCTTTTGTCCAGGTTGGAACAACTGAGCTGTATGTTCTAACACCTGCAACATGTTTGATTGTTAACAAAAATTGATGTTGATATTTTTCAATAAGATAGAGGCATGACACAGACTGAAAAAATAAGTTGTAAATAAACTGTAATCCTTTTTTAAAATCAGTAATCTGCTCACTTTCTAAAAATATTTAAAAACATTAAAAATGATAAGAAATTTCTAAATAAATTTATGTACAAGAATGTATCAATGACAATCACTACATTTCATTACATATTCACTGTTCAATTTGTTTCAATACATGTGGCAATTACTAGTTATCATATGCCAAGAAATATCTATGATGAGCACCACAATGGAAAGTTTGGCAATCACCCTGAGATAAAAATATGCCTGTCTTTCATTTCAAAAAAATATTTTACCTTAACAGCACTTGCTCTAAATTTACCACATGGTTTATTTCTGACATCTATTATTTGCACATCTGAATCTGATTGATGTCTTGAAACGTCTCTTAATTTTCTTATCTGGAAAATAAAAGCAATTATGTAGACAATCCCACACTAAAATCTTAAAAAGACTTGAAAGTCCCTTTTACAGTTAATGAGATGATGTTCCTTTTATCTTTGATGGAAATGTTACAGCCCAATATCATTAATAACTTTCATTTCAACACTTTGATAGTTGGTACCCACAAAATCCTTTCCATGCATAGCTGATATGATGAATCTAACAACAAGGCAGCAAAGCTGTCAAATGTACAGACAAAAAGCAGGAAATAACAAAAAAGGCTACTGTCAATTCTGATGCAAAAGTACATTTTGTTAAACTGCAAATTCAACATCAAATTTGAATTATGCTCAACAGGTAAAATACATCTGTGTCTGTACATAAAAACGGCATTTCTTTAAAATAATGGCCCTATTATGCTGATTTTTGAACTCAACCTGCGATTTAGCAGGAATGACCAGTCCTGTGAGTTTAATGACAATTGGCCTATCTGTTTTTCTTATATTGTGTTTACAGTGTTGCATATATGCTGAAAAGTGAAAAAAAAAAGCATAACTACTAAAATAGTGGCCCGATCATGCCGATTTTTGAACTTGACCTGCGTTTTAGTAAGATCAATTACTCTGCATTTTAGTCCTGTATTTCTTTTTTGAAAGTTTGACAATCATAAGTAACATGGTTTTCCCATAATGGTCATCTTGGCAGCAGCACCCAAAATTGTGTTTTCTTCTATTCTGATGCAATATTACATAATGGTTAACAGCAAAATGACCGTTAATTTTTAATAATAAAATACACGTATCATGGATTTTCAGAAAATGTGACTAGCATGGGTCTTCAAGCCCGTGGAACATGCCGATTTTCGAACTTGACCTGTGTTATAGTAAGATCAATTACTCCTGTGATTTTCATGACAACAGGCCTATCGGTTTTCCTTAAAATGTGTTTACAGTGTTGCATATATGCTGAAAAGTGAAAAAACAGCATAACTTCTACAATAATGGCCCGATCATGCTGATTTTTTAACTTGACCTGCGTTTTATGAATATTCATCAGCTCTGTAAATATACAGCCAAAAAGTAAAACTGCCTTCCACTTATCATGTTTACAATGAAAGTGCACGGTGTCGGCACCGGCGACGACGGCGACGACAGACGCAGGTGATGGCAATATGTACAGACACATCTGTACATATTTACTGTACTGTTTGAGAACAGTAAGTGACATGGTTTTTCTTAAATGGTCATCATGGGAGCAGTGCCCAAAATAGTTTTTTTTCAAATTTTGATGCAATATTACATAATGTTTAACAGCATAATGACCATCAATTTCTAATAATAAAATATTAGTATCATGGATATTCAGAAAATGTGACTAGCAAAGGTCTTCAGGCCCATGGAACTTCCAAGTCACAACTTGAAAATGCCAGAATGTAAACAAGACAGCACTGTTCTGAAATGTTTTTTTTTTCCATTTTTAACACTTTTTTTAACATAAAACAAAATTAACAGGTTACTGCCATTTTTATACGATCAACTAAGAAAATTGATGAGATGGGAAAAATATCAATACAACAGTGTTAAATGTCCAATTTCCTCCATTCTGAGATTCTGAACATAGTGAATGATTGAATCTGACAAACTGCAATGATATGAGTTTATTTCCATTTTGGAAACTTTATTACACAATACACGATAACAAGTTTACCATCATTTTTACATAATCAACTAACAATGTTGTAAAGATGCAGGAAATGTCAAACAAACACTTTTACGTATCTTATTAGTTCATTAATGAGACTGTTAACATGCCTAACAGTTGAATCTGAGGAAATTTGAAAAAACAGCGTAACTTCTAAAATAATGGCCCGATTATGCTGATTTTCGAACTCAACCTGCGTTTTAGTAAGATTGACCACTCCTGTGAGTTAAATGACAATTGGCCTATCTGTTTTTCTTATATTGTGTTTACAGTGTTGTATATATGCTGAAAAATGAAAAAACAGCATAACTACTAAAATAGTGGCCCGATCATGCCGACTTTCGAACTTGACCTGCGTTTTAGTAAGATTGATTACTCCTGTGAGTTTCATGACAACAGGCCTAACGGTTTTCCTTAAAATGTGTTTACAGGGTTGCGTATATGCTGAAAAGTGAAAAAAGAGCATAACTTCTACAATAATGGCCCGATCATGCTGGTTTTCGAACTTGACCTGCGTTTTATGAATATTCATCAGCTCTGTAAATGTTAAGCCAAAAAGTAAAACTGCCCTCCACTTATCGTGTTTACAAGGAAAGTGCACGGCGCCGGCATCGGCATCGGCGACGGCGACGGCGACGACAGACGCAGGTGATGGCAATATGTACAGACACATCTGTGTCTGTACATAAAAATGTTGAAAAAATGGAATTTATACTTACCCTGAAGTCTGTAGGAATTGTTTTTCTATTATTTGAACAGTACATCCTTTGAAAAACCAGTAAAGCCTCCCGCTCCTTTCCCACCTGATATAAGAATACTGATAATATACGTGCAACCATGATGTACTTCAAGGTAAATGTCCATTATTTTCATCTATCAAATGTTATATCATCTGACACAAAACACCGTTTCACTTTTAAGTGTTTGAATACCAAATAACAGAATCTAACACTGCATATAACTCACACACAAGAATATACAGTAACATACACATGCACATATATATTCATGTGCATCCTGAGAAATACTTACTTTGGAAATTAAGTTACTTTTAAGGAAAGCATGACTTGTTAGATATACCTGCATAAGAAACTTGGGGCTCTCTGGCATGAGAATGTACATCAAGGCAGATGAAAAACTAGGTAGTGTACATAACACCACAAACACTCTCCAGCTGTCAAAGATAAAACTGGGTGAGAAGTACCCAAACTTGTGCGGTATCACAGCCCAGGCTAAACCTACAGAGACAAACATCAGATCATGTGAAACAAGAGACAAACAGATTTTATTAATTTAGAAGAAAGAATTTCATTCACAGAGAGGTGTGGTACACCATTTGTTCTAATAGAGTTTAATGCTTAACTTTCTGAGTACCCTTTTAAGTACTAAAATACAAAATGAGACCTGGTAGGGGGGTCTGCTAGACAATAGGAAACATGGCTTTGTTTAAATTAAAATTTACTGAGTATAGTTGTTTGGCAAAAAGTTAGGCTGGCTTTCTGTTTTGTGTCTGTACATTTGTTGTCTAGCCTAAACTTACATGTATATATTAAGCTTAGATTTTAACCGTCTTAGCCTACCTGCAGCAAAAATGTTGCCAGCCATCCAGAAAGTGGCCAGCACACTAATCATTGTGCCACGCTTATCCTTTGGTTGAAACTCCACAAAATAGGAAAATATCACAGCTATACTTCCACCAACACTACAAAGTAACAACTTACGTATTATTATTTTCAGATTAAATTTTCCAATATATTATAAATATCTTGCACGCTCAGCATATTGCCTTGATCTTGAACAAAACATGCAGATGGAATTTGTACATGTATGTCGGTGCTACTATAAAGCCTGAGCCCAGAGGCCTGTTGCATAAAAAATGTTGATCATAGCAAAGACTGCTATGGATCTTGGCTTACTAAGTTGCATTTAATAAAGAATCTTTCTCATTATTATAAATTTGTCCAGCTTAACAAAACCTACTATAGATCTTTGTTTATTAACTTGCATTACACTAAGAATCTTTTTCAATCTTCTAAATTTGTACAGCCCGTTAAAGCATGTCAACCACATTAACTATGTGGGATATCATAGGTTTATCAAGTTTAATCAATCAATGTGTTTTGACTATTTTTGCTCATTCCAGTCCTCACAAGGTTTTTCTTTTGTGCTTTGCTCTAGATTCTCTTAAGAAACTCATTTTACAATTTGTAAAACCAGTTTAATGAAAATATTTTAATATGATTTTCAATGAATATAACATAGGATCCAAGATAGATCCAAAATGTAACTTACCCAATACCACTGATGAACCTGAACAGAAGAAAAACTCCAAATCGTTGTGCAAAACTTGATAAGAGGCCACCCAGTCCATTGACAGTGAGAGACCACAGCAGGATAGACCTTCTTCCATAACTATCAGCTAAAGAGCCCCAGAAGTAGCCTCCCAACAGCATACCTTGGTGATAAGAACATTGATGTATAAATCATCAAATTAATTTAGAAATGAAACGTTGCTTGCTTTACATAAACACATAAAGATAAAACTAAGAAACATCATTTGATCTTGCAAAACAACAGATTCTTTGAACTTTTTTACTTCTTGCTTGAGAAATTTACATGTAAGACAAGGATATCAATGTCCATATCTAGCTACATATTTATGATTATACACCGACTAAGGCCATTCAGCACAAGTAGTTTTAATATCACAGACTTTATATTCATGAAAATAGACTTGACATAAATCCCAATTTTGAGCTAGAAATAATGTTTCAAAATCACTTTCACCATTGCATTTAAAAAAAAAAGCAGGCAAAAAATAAATAAATGAAAATAAATAAATAAATAAATAAACATAAGATAATAAGTATACAATTTTCATGGTGATCCAAAGTCCTAAAAGCTATAACAAATGCTGACAAATGCAGTCACTGGGTCTTTTTTCTGTTTTAGTTTCTGCAAATGGCAGGCCTTAAGTGTTCAATACTTTCCTGCGGGTGATGTTAACAAAAGATATGATACTAACAACAATTCATGGTGGCATAAACAAAGCTTACTAGTTATTTATGTGACTTGCAACAATTTATATGCTTTAAAGTTGCTAGATGTGTAGTCATTACACACCCAAACCCAATATAGAGGTGCATTTCACAAGTTCAAGTCTCAAAAAATGAAATTGAATGAATTCAATGTATTATCCAATTTTTTAAAACTTACATGTGTATAGAACAAAAATCCACAAATGTCCCAATTTTACGCCCACGCGTTTCTGTTTTGTAAGCAAATAAATTGATAGCCGTTTGAAGTGAAAAAAGCGTAAGAAAGAACATACGTTACCACTGAATCGCCTGATACAAACACGATCATTACTTGAGTGTTGTGGAAATGTGTGCAAGCTAAACACTATCAGAACCCTATGAGTCATTAATAATGGAAAAGTGATAGGAAAATACCTTTAAATTGACCAGATCTAGGAAAATTACTTTCAAACTAAAGATCATTTTTCTTTACAATGTCCACGTTGATGACTCTTTCAATAGCAGTAATTGTCAATTGTATGGATAATTGAAAACTTTGTTACCTAAAAGTTATCTACCACTGGTCATATTCGTCGTGAATTTAGAAACTCATTGACAGTTTCAAATTTTAGGTGCATTAGTTACAATACCAACTACGCCTCACATCCTATGCATACTGTAATGTAACGTATGTTCCACAGCCATAGAAAAGACACGGGACACGAGTTTAATAAATATTGATAAGATTATTTTCGCTTTTTTTCCGTAGAATTTATTGAGGTGTTTAAAAGTAACTCAGACATCAAAAGTGATAACCTATTACACAAACACGATCCGCGTATCAAACGTTTTAATCATTTGCATGTAAAGAAATACAGATCCCAGAAACATCTAACCTACCACCTCTTTAAACGAAGCCTTTTTCAACACACCTATAAGTTTTCAAATACATCAGAGAATTCGTTCAAAATGAGCATTACTATCCTCTCTGAAAGGTCTAAATTGTCTTGCGGATTTCGGCACTTTCGGGAATTAAAAAAAAAATGTATATATATATAATGTTTGTTCCATCTATAAAAAGTAAGTGGCTCACAAAATTACGTTCTTAAATCTTTCCATTAAGTGGGTATATATAAGAAACAGGTATCACTTTAGAGTTCTTGGGTCTCTACGGTCCTCGTCAGTCGCTATATAAGACAAATTATAGGCTGCATGATTTCTTGTCAAAGTTTCCTTGAGATTTCTTATATGTTCATACAGTGTTTTTACTGTGCCAACGTGATGGATGGTTTTTTTTTTTTTTTTTTTTTTTGTTACTGGCGCTCTTGGGCTGTACTATAGTCGTCTCGTTCAAAAAAAATGTATACAGCTTGCCTTTTTTTCCTGCTACTCCCATCCATCGACTTTTCGATCAGTTCATCCCCTTTTCGCAAGTTCTCGACCAACGATTCCGGCAAATGCCAGTAGCAGCGGAAAGAAATCTGAGACAACGCAATCTTCTCAGCCATTATATTATGCAAAATGTTCATCTTACTTCTTGGTGTAACTCGTCAAACTTGACCCACTGTAGCTAAAAAAACATTTTCTATAAGTCATCATATTTTAGGATGATGAGTCTTATTGAATATTATATGTATATATTATATTATTGTTATCCAAGGATAAAGGCAACAATTTGCTACATTGTTATTATTGCTAAAATAATTAGGGTAGTGGGGTTATAAGATAAAAGCGGCCTTGTTTGACCAAATCGATATTCTTTGTTGCCTTCCTTTTGTTATAAATAAGACTATGAAAGTTTGTGGTACACTGGGATGGAGGAGACATAAAAGTAATTGCTTCTGCACAGTGTTAGCTTGGGTCTATAGCCTGCTGTATGATGCGTTCTGTCTTAATTTTGGGGCATGTGGGAAATTCAGGTGGTTCCGTATTTCGTCTTCTACAATGGCTAAATCGTTGCCGGATAGCATTCTCCCTCTTTCTTATGGAATTAACCTGTGATTGTAGTTCTTTAACTGTTCATTGTGACAGCCTTCAGTTTCTCCTCAATCGTTTCCACGTTGTGGCCACCTCGCACACACAACAAGTCTCTCAGGTGGTGATTGCTGTGGACTTGCCTCGGCAACTTCTATAGCAGCTAGGAGCTCTTGTTTCCTTTGGTGAAGTATACGTTTTCGCGATTTAGTCTTCGCAAGCCTCTTTTGTCTTTCACGACATTTATAAGGAGGTGAAAGGTAGGCCTACATAGTATTTTGAACCCGTTTTCTTTCGCTTCCAAATAAGCGTCACCCTGAATTTTTTTAAGAGATCGATATCTATATATATATATATTTTTTTTTTTAAATCTCAGCTCTTGTTTTCGCATTTTTCTGAAATAATGATGTTCCGTTCGGTATCAATGTATATGTCACTGTGCTCACTGCGCTCGTTGGCGATTATTTTTTCCTTCCATAGTCTTGTTTGACATTTATTTTCGTCTTTGACATTCATTTCTGTATTTGAATTAAATTCTTTATTACGACATAATCATTCACTTCGCTTACATCGTTACTGAGGATTTTATGGATTTATTTACACTTGTAACTAACCTCATCTAATCTTTAGCTCGAGCAGACGTCAGAAAGAACCACCTGACATCTCAAACAGAAGCTTATTTTTCTTTTGGAGCCAGTTTCGGGCACAAGTAGATTTTCACTGGTAACGTATGTTCCGGTAACGTATGTTCCAGGCCACCTAATTTTTATTTTCATAACGTGTTCTTATATATTTTAAAGTGATTCGATCATGTTAAATTAAATATTACGTAAGGGCGTTTTTTATAAACATTTAAACCGTAACTAATGGGGCCTGCGTCATAGCTAATACTAGGTAACGTATGTTCCCTAGGAAAATTGACAAAATGTTTCATTTTGTACAAGTACTTGGTGCAAGAGAAAACAATGTTTTCTTTTGCTGACAGAAAAATATATAGTGATTCGATGATAGTTTGACATTTCAGATATAATATTTGGAGCACGAGGGGAAAAATAATTTATTAAATGCTTATTTTACTGTCGGTAGGGTGTATTTTCCCCGTTTTTTTAACATTCAGTGACAGGCAAACTTAAGTCGCTAAAAAACAATTAACTGCTCTATACAAAAACTTTTCGTAATTTTTTACAACGTTATACTTGTAGGAGATAAATTAAAGAACAAAACCCGTGATGACTGAATTTTCAAAATGATTAAAACGTTTCCACAGCTAGACGTTATGCATTTGTGACAGTAACGTATGTTCCTTTTTGGGGTTAGATGATGAATTATTTTTTATTATTCGTGGTTCCAGGAAAGTGAAACTTTAATACAAACTTCTTTATGTGGGACCCTAAAATAATCAAACATAGTTTGTAATCTGTGCACTACATATTTTTAGGAACATGCCTGTGACATCGTTTGCACCTCTATATTGGGTTTGGGTGTACAGTGTAGAAATCTAAGTTCATTCAAAGAAGCTCATAGTGGTGAAAGATGAAATTGAATTTCACTTGTCTTGAGAAAAACTAAGAAATTTCTTTATAAATTTATTTCAGATGCACAACTTCCCTGAATAAATGGAAAGGGTGGAGGTGACAATTCAACACATTATTTCAAGCACTGATTACAAATGCAACCGGGTTCCATTTTAAAGAATAATTTTTCAAACTGGTTTATCACCTATGTCCAAGGAAGGCCAAATGCAGTAATATCTGATGGAAGGTTTATCTATACTATCCACAGACTAAAGTTTAACTGATGCTTAATAATAATGCTCATAATGCGAAAGTTCAGCACAGAACAATATGCTGTAGAATACTGCAACGTCATGCTTAAGAAGTGTTGTCAGAGTTGGGTCAATTCATAAGTCAACAAACACACACAAGTTCTATATCTATGTTTACTTACATAAAACATTGTGATAAGAGTATGATGCTGGGTCAATAGCTTTGAATGAGTTGAAAAGTAAAGTAATGGATCGTAAAAATAATTTGGTTTTCAGGAGAATAAAACTAATGCCAAGCCACCATAACTTATTAAAGGACAAAAAATGACAATAACAAGCAGTTTTATTTTAAGTGTTTATATGATATTTAGCTTGTGTTTGGACTTATATCCTTATGGTCTTTACCAAAAAATAATATATAATCATATGTCTTGTGAAAATAGCTCTGATGCAAGGTTTTTATCAAAGTTTGAGGATTATATCTTCTAATTATATCTTATGAAACTATTTGTATGAGTGAAGTTTGATTTTTAATTCACTGACAACTGAAAGATCATTCGTTAATGATCATAATAATCAAAACTTTAAAAAGCTTACCAACAAATATAATAGCTGTTAGCCATCCTTTGTCATTTGTTGACAGATTGAGGTCTATCTCAGCAGATGGGAGGACAAAAGAGATACACAGAACTTCAATGGCATCACTGGAGACAGCCCAGCCACACAGTAGTAGTAAGTAGATGTGGAAGCATCCATAACCTATCAAACACATATGATATACACTTTGGTAACTGCCGTTTGTATGAATAAAAGATGCATAAAATGCCAACTTTGTTATACTATAGATGGGCAGATAGCCTGACGTCCAACCAATCAACATAAAATCAAATATATATATATATATATATATATATATATATATATATGATAAAATTCTTACCTGTCTCATGGAGTGCTTCTTCAAATGTGTAAGATAAATCTGCTGGTTGATCACCTGAAATTTCAGTTGAAAAGATTTATCAGTCACCATGAATAGCAGATCATAACAGCATAGTAATATACATTTCAAGCAATCCCACTAACTTCGTTATGCTGAGGAACATAGCAGCAATGTCTCCAATATCCAGAAGCTCAGGGTGTTATCTATCAGTGTTAAAGTATTCTAATTAGAAAATTTGCACCTGAGTCAGCATAGCAACATGCATATTTCTATTAAATTTGCTGTGCTCCTAATTAAATAACTTACAATTGCTAAATGTTTCATACATCTGCTGCTGCTGTAATCTTTGCTTCATTATATGTGCAGTGAAAATATTCCCACACAAAATGGAACTGTTGATCAAGGGTACACATATTAAATCGAAGGTAACCAATGAAAGTGAATGAGGGTCCACAGACTAAAAACCAATGATGAAAGTTCACAAATTTCCACAGACCATGAATGTGAACTTTAAATAATAGATGCCCATGCACTAAATGTGATGTAATTCCAAATACATGTCATTTAAAACTGGTGCCCTATAATGGAAGCCATATATATTAAATAAATATGTACAAAGCAGCCATGGCATCAGTATATACTACTGGTATGACTGTTTTATAAATTGTTTGGCAGACAAAGTGTACTGCAATTTTCCTTGTAAAATATGCAGGAATATAAGGGATACTGGTATATTACATGGTTTTTGTGCTAACCAGTATGGATCACAGAGGATAATAGGTGCTAGTTGTTCGTTTACACACAACTGTCCCAGTTTTACATTAGTATATGCTTTGGAAGATGAATTGTATCAATTTGTGTTTGTCATATTGCACACATCTGTGAGCCAAAATTCTATCACATTGCCTACTTTACATGCACATCTCAGTGACATTACTCTGATTGGGGAAATCTTTGTATCAAAAATTTAACTTCTATCACATTGCCTACTTTACATGCACATCTCAGTGACATTACTCTGATTGGGAAAATCTTTGTATCAAAAATTTAACTATGTGTTAATAATGCCCCACTTCGTACTTATTATGTTACAAATTTCAGGTTTCTATGGCATTAAGGAGATGAAAATTAAGTGGCTCAACTTTTGACTCATTTTTTAAACTGGTGGCTGAAATAGTGGCATATATTGTAATACAAAAAAATCAGTAACTTTTGACCTGAAAGAGATAGCATTTAAAAATTACTAGTAATGGTTTATTCATACTCATATGTAGATATCTCTGTGTGTCTGCTTAATTAGAAAAAGTGTGTGGTTCCTATAAACAGTGTACAGGGAAGTTACATGTACATTTTAGTATGAATATCAATAAATATGAGAAGAGAAAAATCTGGCACTTTTGCAGTACCCCCCCCCCCCCCCATTTAACTCTTTGATATTCAACATCTTTTCTAAACTAATTTGTGACTTTGAAAAATGTCTTGGCTACTCAAATAAATCTGTTTGGCAATTAATTCATTTATTAATTTTAAGATGTTGTTTATGAAACATATATGCCTTTCAAAAATGGGAACCGAGGTACATGTAATTGCTGGTCAACCAAAATCAGGGAAATACTATCTAGATATATTGGGACTATATACATATCAGTCACAGAGAGCATGCATATTAACAAGTGACTTTATTGGCATCAATATTATAAGGTCATGCGAGGGGCCCACGTGAAAATAAATGAGTTCGATTAATCTGGTGTAGATAACGTTATATTATTATAAAACCGGAAGTAAATTATATACCATTTGTTTCTTGATACCAATCATTTTCCAGGAGGCCATCGCTTTCGTCTTTCCGCAAGTCCATCTTTATACATATTTTGTTTTCAAACACATATCAAAGATGACCCCTTATATCACCCTCTTCTGAGTGAAATGGATTTTGTTACTCTCCAAACCTAAACATTAAAATCTCATTCATAACATATGAATTTGAATGGCTGATTCCAAAGATTTTATTCAGCAGGAGATCTCGAATCACTGCTAAATACATTCTGCTTATATCATTTTCGTACAATAAACTTTCTTTCAAAATGATTAGATGAGATTATTACGCATATCAGCTTGACCTTGACCTAAATAACCATATACGATGAATAGCATGCGACCGCTTTTCTTAGCAAAAAATGCCCGTCTTTTGATACAGGCAAACAACATTCAGCGAGTTGCTATGAGTAATTCGATATCTCAGGCTGAAGCTAATGCAGCGACGATGCCTTATGTCGTCGGTCATGACAAGGCAAAGAAAGAATTCTACATCAAAATACGTTCGGAAGGTAAAATGTGCACTTTGAACTTCAAGTTGACCACTGGCACTGGGCACTGGCTAGGTCACTGTAGATCTACATTTTGAGTTTCAAGGGTAATTTTTGGCACGGTTTGACCAACGTAATGGGAGAGTAATATCAGTTTTGCTTTCGTAGTCTTTTATCTCAATTTTAAACCATAAAACCAGTTTCTACTTTTTTCAACGCATAAAAACTCTTTCATTGACTTTTTTTGGTTTTACATACATGTGTAAATTAATTGTGGGATGTACTATGAATTAAAATGTAATGTTATTTAAGATTCCCAAGTTTATCCTACTTGCAGATGGCGCAAACAGTGAGGATAAAGCATTATTGCAGTATGACATCATAAGAGATGGATTCTATGATTTATATCACACAGAAGTTCCACCCGTCTTTAGGGGAAAAGGAATAGCTAAACTTTTAGCAAAGGTATTTTCCACTTTTTTCTTTACATTTTGTGAATAATATGAAATCAAATATTGTTAGATAATATAAGGGTATCACTTGTCACTGAATGGGGCAGCAAAAATTTTACCATGAAACAAAATCTCTGGAAAAAAAGTAATTGTTTGAATATTTGTTTCAGGCTGCCTTTGATTTTGTAGTGGAACAAGATGCAAAAATGAGACTGAGCTGTACTTACTTACAGAAATATCTTGAAGACAACAAACTTCCTCAGTATTACTCAAGAAATGTTCCAGTTGGGAAATAGCATTTTCAGAAAGACGTGGCCCACAAACTGACAGAAAAATTTATTTGCATAGGGCATCGAAGTCTTGTTTGCATGTGGGCAATAATGTTGGAAGTTATTGTGGAATGCACCCATCTCCAGGGACAGCACAGTTATGCACGGCATCAGTTCGCTCAAGTGATTGTCAAAACCTGCCCACTCAGTCTTTCCCATTTGCCCTGTTTGAGATTATCTACAGGGAACTGGAAAAAAAAAAGATCGATAATCTTTTCCTGCTACTTTGGTGACTANTGTGAAACATTCCTTTTCTGTAGTCACTCAAAATACAAGAAATCTAACAAATTTGGGAACAATTGTTCTGGGACTAAAGTGCATTACTAGAATCCATAAATGCTTCTAAATGGCAACTTGGTATTTGTACAATGTTAACATCTTGGGGGGGAAAGGTGGATGTATAGCTCTACTATTACCTACCCCCCCCCCCCCAAAAAAAAAAAGCAGAAAACCATATTGACAGCTGTTTGTTTGACCATCAGAACGTTGCGCAACATCTTACATGTCCCAGGAAGTGATGAAATCTTGCAAAATCCTGTCCACTTCTAATCTCACTTTTGTGCCCTATTAGCTCTCACTGAACAGTTTGTAAGAAAGGGGCGTACTAGGAGCATTATATATTTACATTTTATATTGTGTATATATCAAAGATTATTTTTGTAAGACAAAAATTAAAAATATTTTTACTGCAGGGGGCATTATAAGGACCTGTTTTATGACTGAAATATCTTAATTTTGCCACCCTTTCAATAGTTTTTAGTGCTCTTGTAAAGTGAAGAAGATGCAGTACATTTAATAAGTTGTGGCATACCTTAGTGATAGCAATTTTTGTTGCAATACTGATTTTTATTGTGGTTATTAGTCAGTCTATCAATTAGAACTAATTTATTACAAGTATTTTAATGGATAATTACATGTTAAGAAACTATTTATGAAGTTGCACATAAATTTAGTCCTTCAGCATGGAGCAATACTAACTGTTGTCCTAATGTAGATATGGTGCTTAACACGTTTGTGCAGTAGTAACAAGAATATAATTGTATGTCTTCCATGCGTGCACTGAAACTGTCTAAACTGTACATGTTGCATGTGTTTGTTCAGTTGATACTTGACATTTCTTATAATTTTATTCCTTATAAAATAAGAATGAAACACTGATTTATATTTGAAATAATTTATCTGAAATAAATACTAACAGATATCGGATGCAGTCTTTTCAATTTCAAACTAATTTTGAGTCTTGACAGTTTCACTCTAAACATTTCTTTATGTTGATAATCCCAACCAATTACGACAAACAATTCATTTTATATCCTTTGATGACACATTAACAAAAAACATCCCCAAAAGACTTGGGTAATGTAAAACTATGAATCCTCAACTGTAAAAGTAATCTATATACAACTATTGAGAGGACTGAAAATCCAGCAAAGTCAATCTTAAGCAAATGTCAAATGGAATGAACCATTTTAAGTTTTTCAGGTTCGTCATAAAACAAAGGTTCAGATTTTTCAGATTGCAAGTAGCCATTGTTAAACTGGCATGCTGGCAAAGTTTTCCTGTAAATAACAGTCTTGAATCCTACCCATCCGTCCTGAAATACAGAAAAGTAACATTTAAGTAGAGTGAAAATCAAATACCACTCACAAATTGGAAAAAAAAAAAAAAAAAAAACTCAAAGTTAAAAGCAGCTAAAACAAGAATTTCAATGATCTTATTTAAGAATTTTAATTAATAAAAAAAGTTGCACCATTTCTCTGGATGCCAAAATTGCTTTTAAACTAAAACTGCTTTAGGTCAAAGCACAAACTAACGAAATACAGTTCACAAGGGAGTCAAAGACATAAATAAAGCTTCAATTGGTGGTGACAATTGTAAAAATACACAACTTACTCCACATTTCACACACACTGTTTTTGCCCAGGGGATGAAATGGGCATACCCAGGGGGGCGAGACCTGTGGCCATCATGTTCTTCTATCCGTGAAATCTGACCTGTAATTTTAAGTTTATGTAACTATACTTCTTATTCAATAATACAGTGGCACATACAAGAGGTCAAGAACGTTTGTGTTAGTGTTGCAGCATGAGAAGTATTGCATTATCTGTAACTGTCTACCTTAACAAAGAAGCCAAAATACAAAGACTATCTTAATATTTCTTTCTTTTGTTCAAGTCTGTCAGAGTGAAGAGTTGAAACAGTCAACAGGTAAATCAAATTTCAGGATCTATCATAAATGAAAACTTTCTGACTAACTAATAAGCAGGTTTTTGATGCGGATTGGCAATTGTGCTAGCCTAATCCAAACTGTTGTTAATATTTTCAAAAACTGTCATATGATGCATACCAGCTATTTCATCTATGTCCACCATGTTTCTGAATTTAATAGTTTGACCTCGATATTGACTTTTTAAATCCATCTGAAAATGAACAATTGACGTTTATTAAGTTAATTTCATAGACCAAATATTGGTGTGATACAAACAACATCGTCTAACTCCTCCATCTGGCAAAGGATGGCGAGCTTTTTCTAGTCATAATCCAAGTAATACATGCATTAGCATGTTTGAGGATAATTAACAATGAAATTCTTCTAGAATGAATAAGTAGATATATTTATTCCATTTTCAAGCAGTGTGAAAAAGGATTTGGTTATGTTAAAGAGACAACATGCCTTTAGGATATAGGCACAGGTCATTTGGGGAGAAAATCCCACTGTAATTACTAACAATATATACCAGATCATGCAGAGCCCTGTATTTCCTAAAGATTTCTTCCATACTCCATTCCCAGTTTACTTTAGCCAAATCTGAATGTAACTTGTGGGCTGTAATTTAAAAGCATTTCAGAGTCATAGTTATTCACATATATACAGAAAATAATAAAACAAGAAAAATAAAATTACCCCATGTGTATGTTTGTGTGCGTGTTTATAAAATGTAAACATGAATAACTAAAAACAATTTACATTCCAATATTTCAAAAGTCAAACAATGATTTATTTGCTTAAAATGACCCTTAGAAGACAAGAGTTGACCAAAAGTGAAATCAAAATACACTGTGGTGCAAATCAAAGCACTTTTTCTCAGCTGTAAGTTTCAGTGTTATGGAGTGCTTTATATATTTTATAAAAAAGTACCATAAGTTATTCTTGATGGGTCTTGCTCACTCTCAAATCTCTCCAACCAATGCAAATCAGACAAAGCCTCCACAAGCTGAAAATAAACAATTAGCAATGTTTTATATATATATATATATATATATATATATATATATATATATATATATATATATATATATATATATATATATATATAGTAAACTTGAAACTAAGTAGCATACTTCACATTAATATGTAACCATTTATTAATTTATTTTGTCATTATTTCATGAATCAAAATACAGTTCTTCAGTACTTGTAGCAAGATGAATTACCAAATGTCCTCCTCTGATGGCCAGGGTTTTTTCTAATTGGGCTCGAGTGATCTTTGGTGGAACTGAAATCTTCTCAGATATAAGTATAGGCCCAATATCAAAGCTAGAATGGAAAAAAAATAGATATAATGAAAAGTTAATATCACAATATCTGGAAAAGTACTTTTTCTTCTTATTTACAGATTATAACATGTTGACTTCAGGGGCGGATTTAGGCCGTCTTCTGGGTCTTCTGGAAGACGGTCAGATGTTCAAGTTTACATTGCCATCTAAAGTTTTCTGTGGGAAGACGGTCAAAGATGGAAGATAGATCAACAAAGAAAATTTGGAAGACTGTCAGAAAATATCTCTGGATCCGCCCCTGGACTTCAATAAGCTTACAATCCATGATAACACTGATAACAAATTCTATGTACTTAATACTCAGAAAACAACCGCACTGATGAGATAGTGCAAGGGAATATAGGTAAAAAACATCAATGAACTTTTCTGAGTTGCATCACACCTAATCATGTTCACAACATGAAATCAAAACAATTTGGAAAGCAAAGAGGACTGGATATCTAGAGTAAAATCAAGTAATATTTTACATGATTTGGAGGTGAGTGTGGTCAGAAATAATGGCAGACTACAATGTGCTAATATGCGGTGAGAAATGTATTAAAAACTGACAGAATTTATGTACTGCTATTTCCCCGATTGTTGTCTCTTTCTTCATCAATTGCACAATGATATGAATTTACCATGTCTTGTGTGTCACTTTTGTGTTGCTTCTGACGTTTCCAGAACATAATCTTTCACCATTAACACTAAAAATAAAAACCCACTTCAAGCAGATTATTGTGTTTTTTAGTCTCATATGATGCAACACAGACTGACACCCTTGTTTAAAGCTATTTGGGGTGATCCCCATTACCTCACATTATTCCACAACACTTACTGCTTTGGTCTTATTTCAGTAATAGTGACCCCAGTCACTGCATCATTATGAAGCAGACAATGTGCTATAGGCGAAGCACCTCGCCACCTCGGTAGTATACTGGGGTGGACATTCAGAATACCACTGGAAAAAATTATTACAAGTTTAAATTGCATTTTCTTTAAATGAAAAATTAAAATGGAAACACCCTTCATTTACAATACACTCAAATATCACAACTGCTTATTCATGAAATCTAAGAATCCTTTATTAGTTTTACTTACTAAGGAAACATGTGTATAACCCTCTCTGGAATCAGCCTTCCAAAAGAGCTGACAACACCTACATCATATGTGTTGTGTTTGTCTCCAATTGGCCAGTCTGAGACATTTAATCCATTTTCATCTGCATATTTTCTCACAGGGCACTGTAAAAGAAATTTTTCAATACTGACCCTCATTACGGTCATCGAATATACACCAAATACAAATCTCATTAATATTCTAATATTCCTTCTAGCTTTGAGTAGAACACATAGAAGCAGGTGACTATACAAGTACACTGGAAACAAGAGGTTTGTAAATCACTCAGTGAGTGTCTATAGAGTCCCCAGTAGCTACTGCTACCTAAACTATACTGAACAGCCTCTTTAACAGTTTGCAAGAGAACACTGTAAGACTGGGTTCCTATACCTAGATCAATCCATCCAGATCTGTCTAACTCCCTGGGGAGTCTCACTAAATTGCTATCAACTAATCAGCTTAAATGTATGTCACGCCTACCGAATCAGCTTTACTAGGCGTGACAGATTTTAAGCCGGTTGAGTTTTTAGCAATTTTGTGAGACTCCCCAGGGAGATACATCAATCCAAATATCTGTGGAAATGGTCACTTAGAAACAAAGTACTGATTTATTCTTCAATTGAATGATACTTACAGGTTTCTTCAACTTTAGAGCAACTACATCTAAATGTTCTATTAGGGTATGATTATCCCTTAATCTGAAAAAAATATAAAAAGTTATAATAGTTCATAAAAAAGATGATGACTGCACTTAAAATAGATACGACAACCCTATGAATCTGCTTCTGATGAGAAATAAGATCAGTGTTTAAAGGCATAGGCCTACATAATGTCTTTAAATGTTTTACAATGCCCCAAATGGGCCCAAAGTCATATATTTGTTTCAATATCCTGCATATTTCTGGATCGTGCAATGGTTTGTGTGTAAAAGAAAACTGTTTATTTTTTCTTGAGGAAAATTTGATTAAGTATCAAAGTCCTAAATAGAATACCTTTAACAGTCATTTAGTAAGCTATCAGTTGCGTAAAAAAAAAAAAAAAAAAAAAAATCAGATTAATTCTCATAGATTTGATTGAAAACTTGATGGTCATACATTTTTGAGATCAAAAACTCACCTTGCATCATTCAATGCTTTTAAAGTTTCCAAAGAAAATTCATCAGTTCCAATAAATAAAATTCTCCAAGGAGGTTCTACACGAAAAGAGACTGGTACTTTCTTGTTGACAAATGTGCATGAACTGCAAAACCTCTTGCCACATAATTCAATAGGAACTAATCCTTTATTGCCTCTTCTAGGTGTTAAAAAACCAAATGTTCTTGGGAAAAGTCCAGTTGATTTTCTTACACCTTCTTGGAGTTGAAACCCAGAGTAGGCGAGTTTTTGAACAATATTTCTGGAACCATATTGAAGCAGATACACTTCAGTTTGATTGTTTTTTGGTAATGTCCTTATCTGCATACAGCATGGTAAGGAAGTTTTAACAGACATCCGCAAGTGGAACATATTGTGTTTTTTTCTGTTGGCTTGTTGACATCAATGTAATCAACTGGCTGTTTTCTTGTAATTCAACGAATAGAGGACTTGACTGTGCAGGGTTATAAGCAGATCCCAGCTCATATGGCAGGCACACATTCAGCAGCTATCTGGTAAAACAAGATGTATCCACAAATTTTCAAATAAACAACTGTCACAACAATTAACTCTTCATTCTATTAACATTTTTAACAAGTTAAGCAGCATTACCTAATTTAATTGAAAACTTTTTACATATACATATGTGTCACGTCAATAAAGGTATATGTATGTTTGACCAAAAAGGTACGTCTGGTCATTATAACAAGAATGAAAAGCTGCACAGAATTTTTCCCCAAAATAATTATTCGAGTTATTTAATTCAATCTTGAAATAACCCAAGGGTGGCATGAGAATGATTTTTATGTCAAATATGTATGCAGTTCTGCAATGTAGTATGGTTCCACAGTGAAAAATATCATTATGATACCTAAATTTCAAGGTATCATAACTGAAATCTGTTTAAAATATCAAATATTTGTTTCGGTGCCCCTTTAGAAATTATTGTGTATGAAATTTTACTCTATTTGTCAGTTATCAGCAAAATATCCATGAGGCGCGCCTTTTTTGACAGGGCTGCAGACATAAGTCGATGCCGAAAACTGAGGAAAAACATGCGGCAACTATTCCGAGAGTTAGGGTGAACGAGGTAAAAATCTAGTTTTTGGTATCCGCTTTTGTGTATTATTATTATTTCTAAATCATGTATATGACATAGACAACTGTATAATACACAAGTTAATATGCACACATACCTTGCAAAACGAATTTCTAAGTTACAAAATGTCGATTGGATGTGAAAAAGAAGCCGTAACAGTAATGTCCTTTCCAACTTACGAAACGTGCAGATGGTTATAATGGGAAATAACTAGTCACCGATAACACGTACTTCTAATAATTTACCTTCCCAAAAACCTGCATGATTCGTGAAAACATAGCAATAGAGTTCAATAGCGTTACAGTGATTTAGCCAAAGGCTGATTGCTTTCATTTATTGGTAATTGACTTGTTTTAATCCTGGTGATTGATCAAGGAGTTTTAATATTGGTGATAGGTGATACCATATATTAAGGGGAGGGGGGAGGGAGGGGATTCCCCTTCCTCAATCAGGGAAAATGAGAAATTCCTTAAACCATTCCTGCTTTGAACTGCACATGATTCAAAAGTCTGATGGTGGAGAGGTTGCAAAGTTCGTCAGGAGATGATGATTAAATTTTATAAGATTACTTCAGGCATATCTTTCATTTATAGCACTCATCCCTTTAATTCACCCTAACTCTCGGAATAGTTGCCGCATGTTTTTCCTCAGTTTTCGGCATCGACTTATGTCTGCAGCCCTGTCAAAAAAGTCTGATGGTGGAGAGGTTGCAAAGTTCGTCAGGAGATGATGATTAAATTTTATAAGATTACTTCAGGCATATCGTTCATTTATAGCACTCATCCCTTTAATGCCTCATCCCCTTGTGGAAGATTGATATAGCACATGCATGGAAATGACCTTAATAGCTTATGGGCAGTCTCAAAGCAGTATGCCTCTCTTGTGTTTCCACTACATTAAAAATTGCAACTTAATGGTTGCGATTTCACAATTTAAAATAAAATTTACCTTTGGGCATAAAAAAGTTTCCAAAGAAAATGTGCACTTATATAACATATGATGTATGTATAAACTAGGGAGATTTAATGTCAATTATATTCAATGTTTATTAAACAAAGTTCAAATATGTTTCATCATTTGTTTTATGTCATTAAGAACATTCAAATGTAAGCACTGGTCAAAGAATAAGTGGGAAATGCACTGTTGCCAAGACATTTCATAAACACTCATAAGTTAATTAACACTCATAAGTTAGGCATATAAATTATCATAATATAGCTATAAAACTAAAAATCAAAATAAACTCATTTGACCTAAGTTTATTTAGATTGCAAAGCTCTCCTTGGTTACATAATGATGTGAAGACACCATCAGCACATACCGCACCCACTGATACCAAGCAAATGAAAAAAATTTTACAGTACAAAGTACAAAAATGTGTATATGTACAGTGCATGTTATTGTTTCAAAGCACAAAGTATCTTAAGTATTACCTTACTTAAAACTTTTGAGTTTTTTAGTTGTACAAAACTTTTTATCTTAAAGCAAAGCAACTGTTTATTTGGTTGCACTAAAAAAAGACAAAGCTTTAATAATGTAAAAAAAAACTATTTTTTCCTATAAGATGGAAACTGACAATGATTCATTAGGCACTAATTTGATTCATGTTTTTAAGTACACTCAACGCAAAACAAGTTTATCAGCATTTCAACTTGACCCTCTTCAGAATGAATCAATCTGTTGGTCAGATTATATATTTTCAAAACTGTTCATCTTTCAACTTAATTGCACAAGTCTTCATAAGTCGTTGTTTTTGATAAATCTGTTACCCTCTGAATGCCTCCCATAGTACACATACTTGCTAACTCCAAGGACACCTGTAAACAATAATAAAACAGAAAGATCTATTAGTCAATGGTGCTTTTCATTTTAGAGGTCAAATGTTGAACATAAACCACATTTAGACATAAGAGTCTACAAGTTTGCTGACATATTTGGATGAATGCAAACTCTTACAAAATATGCAAAAAGTGTATAACAATTAATAAAAAATAGTGAAATTTATACTTTCTTCAAATAACAAGTGGTTTCTTTTCCTTTTCAAGTAAAAAGATATTTGTAATAAGATAACCATATCTTAATTTTACCTCCTTTCCCCCCTCCCTCTCTCAGGGATGTAGAGAGGGGTGTGTACTGTGATGCTGTAGGACTTTCCATATCTGGGTTATCATCCTACAAAGTAGCATGCTAACATTTAATATACATATTATGGGCTACAAAAATAGTGTACTAACATTTAATACAAATATTCCAGGCATTTGTCATACTTTTACTTTTGAATTCATTCATTAGGTTTGTCAGTAGGCCTCTTACAATACTTTCTCATTTGACACAGTGAACAAGAGCTAATAGCAATGTAACTGGTCAAAATTAGAACAAAACCCAAAATTTAAAAATGTGCAAATTTCAAAGAAGATAATGTCTTCTTTTGGGGCCTTTAACAGAAAAAAAAAACAATTTATTAGGCGAAGTTGTGATTATTATTATATATGGCAATATAAAAAATTCACCAACCTCTGTATCTGCTGGACGAACAACACTCAAGAAGGCACCTTGCCTCTTTGCTTCAGCCCGTTCTGCTTCTTTGACTGGTGATGAGTCCAGAAACTTTAGACGAGGTACACGATACAATACATACATTCTACAAAATGGTAAGAAAATGTATCCAACAGAAGTGTTCACTGATGATGCAAAATCTACATTCTGGAACACAGTCAACTTTGAACTTCATGGCAAAAAGTGATTTAACATATGATGTAATTTGTAATATCTATGATTTGCTCTCAAGTTGCTTTAATTTGTCAAAAAAATAGTTGAAAACTTTACAGATAACGAATATTCAAGTTATTTTTCTGTTCTAATACAAAAATGAAAAAAAATGTTTTGATTATTTATTGAAACATCCTTACAATGACAAACAATATTTCAATGCCATCTACATAAACAACTCACCTGTATCTCCTGTAATCGTCATCATCCTTGTCTAAACTTGACAGCTGATTTGGGCATGCCACATTTCCTAGTAAACTGAGGAATGTTAGTGAGGGGCAATTCTTGTTGATTTGTTCCAGAAGGCTTTCTAAATCTGATATGTTATATAAGTTAAAGAAAGATGGCCAAATAAGGAATTTAAACCTATTTTTCTTGTTTTAAAGAAAAGAATTAAAGATCCAAATTAATATAAGTAGTCAAATCTAGATGAAAGTTCCATAATGAAATAAATGGTGATTTCATATAGTACTTATAATCTTATTTAACACATTCAAACATCCAATCATATTGCATTTTGATCAAAGGATATTCTGTTCTTATTTAGGCTGATTGTATGAAGTTTTGTCATCTGTGGGATATTAATGCTGTCATCAACTTCATTGTTGTCCAAGATAAGTTCTTCTAAATTTGGAAAATTTTCTAGTCCATCCAGAGTACTAAAATTAAGTAAATGGCAAATATTTAAAAATTCACATTACATCATAAGTTTTTGAAATTGTTCGTAATTATAATTCTCAAACTTTTTTTCTAATCGATCAAAATCCATGCAATTTTACTCTGCCCATTGAAATTCTAACGTGAAATTAAATAAAATGACTTTATTTAATGTTCATTCATATCCTAAGGTACCTAAATAGTTTATTTCTGAATGGTGATACAATATGTTTAAATCACCTGATTCTATTAAAGCTTAAGTCTAATGTCCTTGTCACAGCACCATATGATTTGGCGAGATGGTCAGGAATTCTGTCACAGTCATAACCCATGAAGGAAAGCTGGAAGTAGAAACAATATACAAGTTGAAATAAAATGCATGAGTAAAAAGACAGAAAACATCACTATTATCAAATCTTAATTATAAAAATTATTATTGAAATAATCTAGTAAAGTGAATACAAGCCAAAAATATTTTAGGAAAGTAGCAATGCCCACTGTGCGAATTGGATCTTGAAGGGAGTCCAAGATACAAATTTAAGTGGTAGGGGGGAGGAGGGATGAGAAAAATAATCATTAAAAAGAAAAATGGTGATGTGGGGTGCGGTGGATTTAGATAATGACAAAAAATATGTACTTGAGGTTGTACATTGATTAACAAGTCAACAGCCTACAGCAATATTGTAATGACTACATATACAATTGACTTTAGGAAGTGGATATGATCCCTAAGCACTCCCTTACATAAGTGAGTGAAGAGTTCACCTTGATAATGATTCAGTTTACACTAAAAAATAAACTCTTACGTAAGTATAAAGCAGATATATATATCTGGCTCATATCAGCTTGTGCATGACTGCTTGTGTGCTCAGTGCATCAGATACCAACCCTCTTGTGCCTTGAACATATTCTACTAGTATGGTCCATGCTTAAATCACTTAAAGTTATCCATCACCCAAGTTCGTAAAAGCCCACTAAAGCCACTAAGCCTTTCTAGTGCTGTGTGCGCATGGCATAATCACTCCAATGTATGGATGTAACTGCATGTGCACAAATACCAGAACAATCTGGGGAGTATCAGTTGAAACAATGCTGTTTGCTTTGCATATTCATCCAATTATTGACCTCTACTGGCTCTTGCAGTACGTGACATCGATCCTTATATTCATACAGTAGTAAGATGCTGAGAATTATTGTGAGCTGATGTTTTTGTGTCTCTGTATCACGTAAAAGTCTGTCAGGTCAAAACAATGTTTGTTATTCAAATCCTTTGTTTCTTCATTGTAAGGTGTTGGTCTGCTAATAAGTTACTGCAAGTAAGTCAGTAGCAGAGCAAGTCCTTAGGCAAATCCTTCACCAAGAAAGATAAGTTTAGCTGCTTGCAAGGCGTATCAATCAAAGTCGTTCAAATAGTCAAATGTTAATTATTTATACAAAGAGCACATATAAGAGACAATAAAAAAAGAGTGCTACCGCATGAAATTTCGTGCTAACTGAAGCAGAGCATGTAAGGCCGAAAATAGTTATAATTAAGCCGGTCAAAGGTCCCTTGTAGGAAATTTTTTAACGAATGTAATTTTTAAAATTGTTTTTGGAATACAGTCAGCTCACATGTCAGAGATATAGTTCATAATGTTTCATGATATCTAACATATATTTTTGGTTTAAATGAGGTACTTACTTGACCATTTTGAACTGTTACTGCCACGGTTTCTTCGGCATTTTTACTTTCTCTATTCTGCTCCTCTTCCTTCTCGGCCATTCCGCTTGTTGACATCACATGACTGATGACCTATTTCGGAAATGAGAGCACGTGTAAACCTGTGCTTGGTTCCTAATAACAGCCTGTACTCAAGAGGCCAGATGATTATTTCTGAAGCACCATTCAAAATATAACCTCACATTAGGAGAGGTAAAACGTATTTTGGTTGCGCAGGAATAAAATAGAGTAAAGACCACCATGACCTCAGCAAAATATCAAACTGAATATAAAATCTAAATTACAGCAAATATTAACGTTACGTTCCTAACTTCGGTTTGCTCTACGCTCACAAACACGGTTCATTAGAACCACTTGCGTACTCTAAGATGGTAAACGTAAAATGAGTAATTCGACTCGGCAGCACTAGGGTAAGCCACTTTCTTCTTTGAGACCTCGTTGATCCCAGCTGTTTCGTGTATGTGACGTGCGTGTTAATTGTGTGCGTTGGCCGGTGTGCATTTGTGCTATACTTATGATTATCATTACTTTTATTTTTAAAAACAAGTTCGACTGTTCACACTGCTATAAAGTGCTAGATATTGCTATGGAAATAACTCCAGACAGAATATATCTGATATTATCTCAGAGTCATGATCTGTCAAGGGAACAAATCTACCAGTTTACAGTGATGCTACAGATGTGATATCACAAATTTATGTGGCACAACCAGTAGCAATGATTCTACGAACACTGGCGTGTATTTTGCCTTTCATTACACTAGGACCCACCAATAGGGCCCTAGCTTAAAGCAATAAGGAAAGAATCAACAGTATTTTGATTTCCTCGAGAGGGCCCGTTTTGAAAAAAAAAAAAAAAAAATATATATATATATATATATATATATATATATATATATATATATATATATATATATATATATATATATATATATAGTCTCAACTGAAAAAAGTGAAAAGGATTAAAGATGCCCAAAACTGCAAAAACTCATATGTAACTAATATAATTTTCCTGAGGTTAACTATATCCAGACACTCCCCATAACACAGCAACAACCTGGGAAAATTAAAAACACTTTACCCACACTTAAGTATGCATGTTTTTTTCAAAGTCTACCATCGTTTTGAGCACCTTTGCAAAACTGTCCAGATATTTGATATGTGGACTGCTAGCTTGTCTGGAGTGGTATAATTAAGATCTACATGTACTTTGTGTTTTAACTATGAACACAGATTTCAGGTAACCTAGCTACTAATTGGTGAAAGTAGGGGGAAAATTTACCATATTTACCTATTTTATAGGGTTACCACCCCATTTTGAACTTGAAAGTCATTTTGAACCATAGCTGAAAAGAAAAAAAATGGAGGTCATTCCAAGTCATCTAGCTGTAATGTTTTACAAAAATATACCAAGAACCTCGTAAAGTGATTCAAAACAGTTGGCCAACCCTAACTCCCTAGTTATTTTTGAAAGATAAATCTTTTGGGGATAGCAGTATTACAAAGTTATTGCTTTTTCCATTCTGAGGGTCCATTATTAGTTTATCCTTTTCCTTCAATCACCCTGCAAGGCCAGATGAATACCGCAGGCAGTACAAATAACCTGCTTGCATGTGTATTGTAGGCCTTCAAGCACCCAGAACCAGGTATATATGATAAATGAATACATTCAATAAAGAGTGTAGTCATAGATTGTGAAACATGCAAAGTTTTTTGCTTTCATTTGAGTCATAATATCATTTTTCATAATGGACATGACCAGAAAAATTCTTGCATGTTATGATTCATTTAGAGAAAAATGACATTTAATGCAAAGCAACAAATGCTTAATTGTATTTATATATATGGATGTTTACTTTTTCAAAATGTTAAATAAATAAATAAACAAAGAAAAGTAAAGAAAAGGAAAAAATTCCCCCTTGAAACAATTTTTCAAGTCAGAAAGAGGATAAATGATGATCTGCATGCAAAAACCAACATAACAGAATTCCTAAATAGCTGTGAGTAACAAAACCATTCTGAGTATCACTGGAATTTGTTTTTATTGAATCACATGCCCAAACTTGGTTATCTTGCAGTGTGATTGTAATGAAACATTGTATTATCTCTGAATTTAGTATTCGCCCATTTTGCATGCCTATACTTGGTTATCTGGTAATGTTTTGAATTGTGAAACATACCTGGAATTACACTTACCTGGGTGATTTGACATGTGATTTATGGGGATTTATACTGTTTATAGTACAATGTACATATAAGGCTAAATAATGGATCAAGAAATTTGAAATATTCTGGGGGTTTCTGCAGTTTATGTCTAGGTAGTATATGCATGACTAACACAGTCCACTGTCTCTATTTGTAAACCCAAGTAAAGCAGAAAATGTATCAATTTTTTGGCAACATGCTTATCTTCATAAACAGAATTAGGTGTATAAATGCTTAATCTTTGTGTCTGTTGTGCAGTTAGATTGGATTTGTATGGAGTAGTAAGACCTGTATGACCTATGTTGGTCCAGATTTTCAAATTTCACATGCATTGTTCTTTGTAAAAGAAGGTGCCACTTTGCTAAATAAAATAAATATACCCAGATTTCAAAGAAATTCTGAAAAAATTTGTGAATATTCCCTACCAGATCCTGTGTTCATTGCTTATGCCATTGAATAAAAGTAATTATAACTAGAGTATTCACAACTAAACCAGATACATCCATGGCTACCATTTAACTTGAATGAGCTTAATCTTTCTTTGTATTGGCTGACATGACATGGAGCCGGCTGCAGCCAGCGGACTAGATGGGTCATGACTTAAACCATGTGTACCACCAGCTCTCAAGCTCGTTGTACAAAAGTGCGCAAATGCCTATAACTTTCTCCTTGTACTCTTTTTTTTTATATTTGTTGGCTTACTTGTTAAGACACCATTAATAAACAATTAACCAGGCCACTTAGCAAAAAGAAAAGAAAACAGTTTTGTGGTTGTTTACTTGTAGTTAGCTTGGTCCAAATTATTCAGCAAATGGGCATAAAGGCTGGCCCAGTTTCCAGATTCCAGGCACCTTTGTCATGATAAAAGAAGATGCCACTTTTTTCCATTAAAATAAAAAAAACAAAAACGAAACAATATGTATGTTTCAAAGAAATTCTGATAGATTAGTGAGTATAATGTTCAACCAGAAATTGTGTGCATTGCTTAAGCAAATATATAAAAGTAATTTTATCAACTTGCAAGTATGCAGAAACCCTTTCTTGATGTTTTATTACTAGTAAAGACACCATAAATAAACAGCCAGGTCATTGAGCAAAAAAGAAAAACAGTTTTGTTGTTGTTTACTTGAAGGTAACTGCCATCATGTCTATCTAACATTACACAGGTATAGTTTGTTGTAAGAAGAATGGGACCTAAATTTCAGGATAAACAGGTGATTTCAAGGACTTTTTAAAAACCATAGCTAATATTTAATAATGTTTTTTTTTTAATTTTTTTAATGATAGACTTCTAAATCTGTGTGCTTTATTTTTAAGAAAACACATTTTTTGGTATGTGGATGATGATTGTGTACATTTCAGAAAACAAATGAAAAATAAAAATCTAGACAAATTGTGAAACACTGGTTTTTGTAATCAGACTTGGGTAAATAGTATGTTAAATTGTCACTGGCGTAAGAGTCTAATAGGCCCATACAAACTGAGATGCTATTGAAGAAAAAAGTTTTAAAAAGTGTCTGAAAGTACATAAAATCCCATAGTTGTCTTCAAACCCCACAATTTCTGTAATGTACCCATGGGTTAACCACTGTGCCTGTGATTCAACAAAAAAACAGTTTAATTAAGTCTAAGTTAGTTTGTGCTAGATGTATACGTAATTGATACAAGTTTACATGTTGTAATTTGGATGAGGTCCATGCGCACCCCACATTTGTGTGTGGTGAGACAGGATCGAGGGTTCAAGATGACTGTGCCAAAACTGAAAACAATTTCCATAAAAATTTCCATAAAAACAAAAGGTATGAATGGTTTAACAGAATGTTCATTCTTTTGATACCATTTAACTGCATTAGAATCAGTTAAGTTTCAGTCATTAATCACATGTACCTTTTTTCACTCCATGTATTGTTTTGAAATTGTTGTCCTGAAGGTTAATAATACTTCATCACATTCTTCTCTGAAAAAAATTGTAAATCTTTGAAAAAAACATATTGTTTATTGCAATTTCCTTAACATTTACTGTTTAAAAAACCATGAATGTCGGCATTTTTCTTTGATAGACCCAGTTGTGGTGACGTAGTTAATGTACTTTACCATACCTTTAAAACATGACATCATGCTAGGGAATGTCACATGGTAAAAAAAAAAAAAAAAAAAAAGGAGAGCATTTTCGTACAGCTTATCTCAGTTGCAGTTGAATCGGCCTGGGTTGGGTATATAAGGGTTGGATGCCCTGGGCAACCTTATTCTGCAACAAGAACTCACAGTCATGCATCAGAGCTTCTAAATGAGATTCCTTGTGTAAAAATCAGCATAAGTTAAATGAGCATCTATTTAATTTTTTAGTGGAAGGATATAGATTTCGTCATTATTTAATTCTCAAAGGGGTGAAAGAAAAAGGTGCTTTTTAGAGATTTAGTGTAAGTATAGTGTTTTCTTTCTATGCAATTCATTTATTTTTCATCGTTTATTTATAAAATTGCATATGCACTTTTCATTATACAAAACATCAGTTTTCATAACCACTGTCATATAATTTTAAGTGCTACAAAAACATAGGATGAAGAATTCTATTTACATCATTGGTAATCTATTTTACTTAGATTGTTGAAGACAGAGCTTGGAGAATTATGTCTGTACCAAACCCAGTCACAAAATGCTGCAAAAATTGTTGGACCGTGAAGAACTGGAAGAAGAAACTTCCCATTATAACATGGATACCCAAGTACAGGTAAGTATGGGCAGCGTTTTTTACATTCATTCATCATCATTCACTCATCCAAAGTATCTGAGCTAATCTATGGAAATAAGAAACATTGCTGTTACAGTATTCAGCACAAACCAAAATTTACTATCAGTGATTTGCAATGGAATATTTTAGATTTAGTATTCATCATTGTTTTTATTTTATTTTCTGTATTTCTATGTTATGAACAGTATTTCTATCTAAAGGTACATTGCCACCCGCTCTCTCTGGTGTATAAATTAAAGTGCAATAAACTTTTCTTCTTTTTATTGTCATCATGGAAGGCCTCACATAGGTTTCACAGTGAACAAAATCAACAATTGTTATGTAATTTGTTTTTTTCTCATTGCTTGGCAACCCACACTTGTATCAGTATACCCCTGTATGTGTGTTGTGATCAATCTAAATGGTAGATTTTAGAGATTTGGTATTAAAATGATAATCTCTGTTATTTTAATTTAGAAATTTTAAAATCACAAACAAACAAGACTCAGCAATGTCTTTTTTAAATGCTGCTTATCAAGTATAATATTGAGGGAAATTGTATGAAAACAGGGGTGGATCCAGGATTATTTGAAGGGGGGTCTGCAGATGCAAAGCCAACCCCCTTGGCGTGGGGTTCAGGCCCAATGAAGGGCCACGAAAAATTTTGGCATTTTAGAGGGTGAAGGGAGCCGTTTGGTACGTTTTAATACTAAGATTCAGCAAGTAAAAACTCTAATTTCAAGAGAGGACCATTGGTGTGTTTTCAGAAATTGGAGGGGGGGTCTGGACCCCCCTGACACCCCCCTAAATCCGCCACTGTGATATTGCTAACAACAAATAAGATTGAAATTGAAGGCCCCAGTTGGCTACCCATTAAGTTGTATCATCTTTCTTGTTTCGGCAGTACATTTTTATATCAGATGCCAAAGTTAAATTCTAGATTTGCCTACATTCTAGTTTTTCAAATAAGCAGAAGTCATGCTTTTTATATTATCAATGATATTATCAAACCTGAAATCAATGTTTATAATGGTTAGAATGATTGTCATTGCATAAAGTTGGTTATAACTCCTGAAATTTAAGTGCCTTGAATTTCCTTTCAGGCATTATTCAGATGTTGACTTAAACATTGTTGTATTGGCATTTATTGTGATTAAGTCATACAAAAAGACTGCAATAAAAATCTCAACCAGGAATATCTTCAGGCCAAAGCATTTGATGCATTGAATATTGCCAGCCAATTTGTTTGCATGAAACACTGAAGCTAACCACAAAGCAGAATTAGTCAGTGACACAATGAACTTCTTATATTCTGGGCCGGATTTGTATTTGTAATGCTTATATACACGTAACACTTTATTACTTTGTGCATGGTTAACATTCTAAGCTCTTAGCTCTATGTGCATAGAATTGTTTGTCTCTTAAGTACCCTTTTTTTTGCTTCCATTCAGCAACTGCACAGAAAAAAACTTTGAAAGACTTCAATAGCAATTGCTTTGTTTTGAAGTCTTTTTTATGAATTGATAAAAAATTAGCTATTTCATGCCATTTCATCAAAGATGATGATATTTTTCCAGTGATTGGTGATAATTTTATTGTATTTTTGCATGATCAAATTAATAATGTAATCCTTTTCATAATATGCTTTGTGGGACAAAACAAATTATTGGATAAAAATTGCATAGCAACATATTCCAATGTCATTTTGTGTTTTAACTTGGAAACCAAATTATTAGAATATTTTAAGGACCATAACCAATGGAATAGTTGAGATTTTTGATATTATCAAGATAGCACACTTAGTACAAGATTTCTGAGATAAACTTGAAAGTATGCAATAATTCATTATAAATGGGAGACTGAAATCAGAAAGCCTTTGCCAGGTAACCTTGGTATAGTGATTTTGACAAAGAAGGTGTCAGCTTGGAATGTATCACCTGCCATTTGAACCAAACTCACAGCAAATAAACATGTAACTATATACGTGAATCATTTAAAACTTAAGTTGCAGAGGAAGACAAAATCTCAAGAATTTGACTAGTCTGTAGGTTGACTAATTATGAAATAGTTTTTCTGCTCTCTATGTCTGAAAGCATTCCTTTCCTAAAATGCAATCTATCTGATTAAGGGACTTTGCTATTAAAATGCAAACTATATTTTGGTAAATAGAAATATTCTCATTAAGTAATTAAAATGGAATGTGAGACATATCTAAAAGACTCAGTAATTGTGTTTCTTTATAAACTGCTCACTTTGTGCAGAAAAAAAAACATACTGTTAAAATATGAAGCTCAAGTAGCAGTCTTTTAACTTAGTTTCATTGAAACATGTAGCATTTTATTATTATTGCAATGTTCTTATCGTTTTATTTACAACTTTTAACTCACTGGGATGCAATCTTAATAAAATATTATTATTATCATTATTAAATATATTTTTAGGCTTCCACATCTCCAGGGTGACTTGATTGCTGGCTTTACAGTTGGTCTGACAGTATTGCCCCAAGCTTTGGCATATGCCCAACTGGCGGAACTTCCTGTGGAGGTAACTTTATTTCTCATTATTTCCTGGTCTTTCACTTTGTTTATTACTTTCTTTTATCCATACTTAATTTATTCAGTCATTTATTTCATGTTCTTGGAATTCTTGAAAACAATTTCACTTGTCTCACAAAATTGAACTGTCACCTCATCAGTACATTCTGTATAAGCAGGCAAGGCAAGTTTTTTTTTTTTGAATTGATTAATGGGTGATTCAAGATGAAAAAAGTCTGTGATTACAAGCACTCTTATTTGACATGCAAACGTGGTTTATGTTTTTATCATACCTTTAAAATAAACATCTATCATATTTTGTTGTAGTTTGGTCTGTACACTGCAATGATTGGAGGTTTTGTCTACTGTATTCTGGGGACTTCCAAAGATGCAGCTTTAGGTCCAGCAGCAGTGGTGTCGTTGTTAACAGCTTCTTTTGCCACGACCAGAGCACCTGTTAAACATGATGCAACTTATGCCATTATCCTAACTTTCTTTGCTGGAATAGTGCAGCTACTGTTGGGCATACTTAACATGGGTTAGTCATATCAAGTTGTGTTTCCAATCAAGCTGGGTCAACCTGGCTCTATGAAGCTGTCTGTTTACAGATTACTGCATTCAAAACAGTCAGTATTTATCCATGACATCACCACTGTCGCTGTTTAACACACCTTTTGTTCACATCATACCTGTCAGATAATATATATATATATTTTTTTTTTGTAAAAAGGCAGGTTATTTTTTAAAAATCAGCATGATATGATATCTAGTGCAAGTACAAAAGTTATAGTTTTTTTTTTTGGTGTTTTTTTATGTTTTGATGATGTTTACCCAATAAGTACCAAACTGTTTTTTTTTTTCGTTTACTTTAAATTTGCTGATTTGCTTTATTATGAAAGTTTTTAATTAATTTTTTTGAAATTAATTGTTGAAATGTTTTTTCCTATTTGATATCTTTACATTTACAATCTTTCCTGTCTAGTTGTAGTTAAAAATAAATTATTCATGCACTGTCTGTGGTTTTTCAGGTTTTGTTGTGAACTTTGTGTCATTGCCAGTGATAAGTGGCTTCACCTCAGCAGCAGCTGTCACTATTGCACAGTCACAGTTGAAGGTAAACAAAAAAATTGAAGATCAAATAATTCTCTGTGTAAAATTGTATGTTGATATTTGTAAATTTGTGTGTTAATATTTGTCTGTGTAAATTTGCATGTAAATATGTAGTAGTATGTAGATATAAGGTAAGAAGGAAATTATTTTTTAAATGTAAAATCATTCAGTATTATACCCAGGCAACAAAATATTTATATTTTAATTAATTTCATTAATACTATATGCTTCTGATACATTAAATTAAATATTACTTTCATTAAATATTACTGATTACTAATATGTATTATTTTTTCAGAAATTGTTTGGGTTGAAAAATGTGGACCGTGAATTCTTCCCAGGGCTTATTGATATCTTTGAAGATATACATTCTACTAAGTAAGATCTAAAAAAATTAATTTGTCATAATACTTTGCATTTTATACTAATAGAAAAAGTTATGAATAGAGACAAATTTAAACGACACTACTACTTATCTAAGATCAATCTCCTTCTATTTGAACAATGAACAAAAACAACATTTTATATACATACCTGTGCTTAGCTACACAGCAATTGTCAGGTGTAGTATCCATCTAAAAATGATTTATCTCTCCAAGCTCATCATTTTTGTATTTTCAGTATTTATGATTTGATTCTTGGCATATCCTGCATCGTCATATTGACTCTTCTGAAGGTGAGATTTTTGGGATAAAAAAGTTTTGGAAGCAGCGAGAGCAACAAAGATTAAAATTTGATGAATGTTTCACTTTAGTTTTTGTGTACATAATGTTCTTTATGCTTAAAAGCCCATTTGAATATATATAGATAAATGTTTGAGAGTTTTAGAAAATCATATTTTGAATATTTTACTGCCCATTTTTAAATGACTGAATAACATAATGTTTTTGCCACTTTTTAAGATATGGTATCATTTGAATTGCATTGATCATACATTTGCAGCAATTGAAGGTTCTGAAATTCAAAGGAGAAGACGATGGCACAATTACTAAGAAGAAATCGGCATTGAAAAAAGCATTATGGTTTATTGGAACATGTAAGTGAACCCTATTCCCTAATATTTATTAAAAAAAACACCTGCCAAAATATAAAAGTTATTCTCCAAAATATGCTTTTCATGATTTTTAATTTACATTTTGACAAAAGTTATGCATTTGAGTGTTTGTAATCCAACTTAATTTGAATTGTACTACTAACAGTAAATAAGCCCATTGTAATTATAAATAAAACATTACATTTCCCAAAACTTTCCAGCTCGTAATGCCATTGTTGTGATCACTTGCTCTGGGATGGCCTATGGACTGATGGCACATGGGATTAATGTGATAACCATCACTGGAGAGTTGAAATCTGGACTACCACCCTTTAAGTTCCCGAATACCACTTTGGAAATTCCCAGTCAGAATCGCACTGTTTCATTTGGAGCAATATGTGCAGTGAGTATCTGTTTTATTTCCTTGTCATTTGCCTTTAATCAAATATTTCTGATTGTTTAAAGATTTGGTTGATAAATGTACTAGTATTTTAAGACAAAAAAAATCTGTCGGTAAAATTGGATGTATTTTTGTCACTTTGTTCTAATCTAGATTATGAAGATTATATATAGCATCAATATTATCAAATCTTGATTATTATTGTCTTCTGTAAGATTATTGTGGTAATAATTTTTAATTTTAACAGGACATAGGTGCTGGTTTCATTGTTGTTCCTTTGGTTGCTGTACTTGAGATTATTGCAATTGGAAAAGCCTTCTGTAAGTTCTTTTGAGAATTGTCTTGGATATTTGAAAATGCAAATTTTTCTTTTATATTTCTCCTAAAACACCATCTTGCATAAAATAGTAAAGTTTTTTCAAAATATGATTTAGATTCTAAGCATCATGTCTTTGAATTTTTTTAGCTGTATATATATACAACTGAACACTATTTAAAAGTTGAAATACTGCTCATTATTTTAATCTAGGTTGATTAAGAAATCATAAGTTGAGATTCATAAACAATAGGTGCATCCATATGCAAAAGAAATATTGGTATTATAAACAATAAATAGTAAGTAACATTTTATTTTACAGCCAGGCAGAACAATTACAGAATTGACCCCAGTCAAGAATTCATAGCTACAGGTAAATGAAAGAACTAACTCATCAACCGATAGTAAGTTAATGCATTGAAAGCTTTGAGTTAATCTAAGACTATCTTGTTGAAATGAGGTTTACCGTTTCCTTGTAAAACATCAAGTGAAAACTACACACCCAAAGATTGAAATAGTTTTAATGTCTTCATTTTTCTGTTGAAGGTGCTGCCAATATTCTTGGTAGTTTTGTGTCTGCCTATCCCATCACTGCTAGTTTCTCCAGAAGTGCAGTCAATTCACAGAGTGGGGTCAGGACACCGCTAGGTGGAGTGGTTACAGGTATTTTTTTCTATGCTAGTTTTTTTTCTTTCTTTCTTTTTGCATTTATTCATTTATATTTGAAAACCCTGCTTGCCTTATGTGACACTTTAAAACATGTAATTTAAATGTTTCAGTCAAGCTTGTAAATAGATTTCAGCTTGGCTGCTATGTATAAATGTGTTTGTTAATGGTGAAAATGTTTTATTATAAGAAATTTGATCAGGTTGTTGTGGTGGGATATGCCCGGATATTTTGCCACTTTTAGTTTATAATAAATTTCTTTTTATGTGAAGGTGAGATTTGTAAAAACTGGGTGTCCTTGAGGCCTGACTGGAATATGTACCCCATGTCTGTCTATGTGATATGTGTTATTGACACTAGTCCACCACGCATGATATAAAATTAAAAAAAAGGAAACAATGATTTGTACCTTCCATCAACTCATATTCCCCTTGCAACATTACACCCTTTAACCTAAGTATTCATCATGATAATTTATACAAATTGGATGCTGGCAAGAGACGTAATGTCATGTATTTTCATTATTTTTCTGGCCTGGCTCAAAGATCTCACATATCCTATAACAATCAAACAGAGACAAACATAATATGTTTTTACATCAGCTAGATGTCACATAAGACAACACTGGCTAAGTATTAAAATAGGTAATCTCAAAAAAAGCAGATAGAATTTGTAAAAAATGTAATTAAATCCACTTCCTTATTTACTTATAGCGTGACCTTTTTATATTAACCAGGGTAGCAGTCTCTACTCAGAATACTAAAAGAAGTTGCAAAAACTTAAAGCAATTCAGCAACAAAGTTAAATTTGACAATGATGTACAGTAACAGTGATGATCATATATGATAGCAATTACTAAGATTTTATGGTTAGCCTTTAAGAAGAGGGACTGTGCTGCACCCATCACTGACATTTCAAGAATATTTATTTTTTTCAATATCTAATATTATTTATGTATGTATTTTATGAATACCATTTTGCTTTTTACATTTTTTAAATTCAAGTTTCTCAGAATATACAGCTTATTTTATGTTTATTTATATAAATAAATGTTTTGTACATTATCAGAGGCACATGCCATATTGCATAAGCTACAGAAATAAAAACAAATTTGCAAACTTGAAACAGCCGATCCAGTAACTTCTGATAGCAATAGGTTAAGTGTCACAAGGAAGTACTTTTAAAAGATGTACATGTGAGTGGATATGCTCTATGCATGAACATGTAACAAAATATGGTTTTAATCCATTACCTGCAACCCTGCGACCCTGTAGATGGTCAGTGATCATTTTAAGGTGACAAGGCAAAGGCCTTTTAAGCACCAGTGGACTATGTTCCTTTTTGATTATATTTTTCAAGTAAATAAAATAATCAGAAGGTCATGTACCTCTAAAAAAATACATGTAAACATATAAAAATCAGGACAGTTGTACAGATGTAATAATTATTATAGTATTTTTTTGTCTGCAGGCTTTGTGCAAATATCTTTCAGTTCAGTATAAACTTTTTTTTTCATCCAGATTTCACAAGCTCAACATTTAGTGATTATGTCCCACTAGGTTTAGCCCTAGTTGTTTTATATATCAGTAATTGTAACCATCCAAAAAGTGTAATATTTTTGAAATGTGTAGTATTGTACAAAAAGCATGAAAAACAAAAAATCAAAAGTCAGAGCTTTGAATACCCTAACTGGACTAAGTACCGTACATTTAATTTCCTCAACAGTTTTTTTGGCGCACTTTTCTCAAGACAGCTTTATATATATAATTTATATCAGTGGCAACAACCAATATACAATATATGTATCAGGATATACCAAGGAGATACTAGAGAACCCTTTAAGGCTACTATTAGGAAAGAAGAAATATTACTTTCACTTTTCTTTTCAGCTACCATTGTGGTGCTGGCTTTGGCATTTTTGACTCCATACTTCTACTACATTCCTGATGCTGCCCTTGCAACTGTGATCATTTGTGCAGTGGTTGACATGATTGAAGTCCACATTCTTATTGAACTTTGGAGAGTCAAAAGTAAGCCTTCAGAAAATGCTCATCATCACTCACATTGTATGTCTGAATTTATAAACTTCCAAAATTATTCAGTTAGTCCAGATTTAAATCTCATCTAAATCAAATCCTTTTTTGTTTTCAGAGATTGACCTGTTACCACTTGTGGCAACATTTGTGTTTGCATTGGCAATAGGTGTTGAGGTAATCTATTTTTTTCATTTACTTACTTTGGGAAATGTAATTTTATGGATTATGTATATATTAACATCAAAAATTAAGCTATATATGTTGAAATTTCCAAGACAAGAGCTTACTTCATTATTTTGCTTACAATTTAGGTTTAATGAGTTTTAAAAATTAGTAGACAGTAAGGATGACTAATATACAGACAGGAAAAATCATTGTGACAATAATTACAAAAGATTTTAATAACATTTGTGATTATGATAAGTTTTTTTTCAAAAAGAACCTGGGTTTTATAAAAAAAATGAATTATAAGATAAATACATAAAATCTTTGAAAAAAAGAAAAAAAACTGATTATGTATAATTTATTTCAGTATGGACTGCTTATTGGCTCTGCCATTTCATTGTGTCTTCTCATGTATCCAATGATAAGGCCAAGGTTGACAGTAAGTGATCATGATATTTGTTATGAAATTCTATATGAAAATGTATTAGATTTACATACTAAGAACCATAATCTAAACCTCAGTTTATTTGATTAACTGTATTATTAATTTATCATTGAACTGTAGAACTAATTTACATGATAAATTATTATGTGTAGAAGATTCATAAGATCATGGAGGGAAATATTTACAGATTGATTTTATATGAGCTTTCTAGCATCAATTTATTGATATCAGCAACACTGGAAAGTCATTCAAAAATTATTTTGTTTTTTAAGGGTCAGTAGTTGAATATCTGTATACCTTAAGTCACTAACAATGTTTGTTTTATAATTTTTCAAGCACAACATTGTCACTGAAATTCACAATGTGGCTGACCTTCCACAGAAAAGAGGACCTATTAAGTCTATAATAACAAATCTGGTAAGATTTTATTTTAATAAATCATTTACTTTTGGTTGACAACATTTTACTAAAGGATGGTTGCAATTTTCAATGTCAAAAAAAAAAAAAAAAAAAACTTTGGGTCATCATTATTTTTTATCAGAAATAGTATAAACTAAAAAGGAGAAACGTATGATGCATTTGATTAAATTTTCTTTTTGTGACTAGCAACAAGAAATGATTCTAATCCTGGCACCGAAGGCAGGTCTTATGTTTCCTGGTGTGGAATACCTAAGAGATAAGATAAACAATCATGCTTTATTATGTAAGTTGATCATGTTATAATTCCACAACTCTTGTTATATTGAACATAATTTTAAAATGTTAACCATACTATTACATGTACTTTATTGATATTAAACTAATTTGATAGTTGATATTAAGCTTCATCATAACCATAGCCTAACTTCTTGCAATTTAATGGGCTCTTTAGCAGACAAAATGTCATTATGTTTTACAGCAATATTTGAAGTAATACTCTAGTTTATATAGACAGCTGTAAAAAGTCACACCGCTATTTTGCAAAAGATAACATGACTGTCAACAAACAAACAAACAAACAAACAAACAAACAAACAAATAAATAACAGGTTTCATTCATAAATGACACCATCTTATACTTGTCACATATACATTCCACAGACTCAAATGCTAAAAAATTAATGTGCTTAAAAAGAGTTTTCAATGTTGCATCTCTTTGAAATGATTTTTTTAGAAAGCATGCTTATATTTTGTTTTGTCTTCTTTTTTCAGCTGCTCATCCTAAATCTGTAATCATAGATTTTTCTCAAGTTTGGGATGTTGATTTTAGTGCTGTTAACTTTGTGAAAAGCATTTACCAAGATTTTGGAAACCATAAGTGCTTACATTTGGCTTTTGTTGGAATGCAGGTAAGACTTAATTATTAGTTCATAAGTTAATTATATCTGATATAGCTCGAAAGTTCATAATCGGAAAGATCAACTCTGTAACTTTTAAACATGACTGTGTGATCATGCTTTAGAATTGAAAAAGAATTTAAAGTGACACAAATACAACAAAATTATTATATTGCATAGTTTGTTGCTGATTTCTTTTCTGTTAAGGGTCCTCTTCAAATAGCATTTTAACAAGTTGAAAATGAAACAAATACATGTAGATTCCCTGGTATGTTGCATTTCTGAAATATATTCAGGTGTTTATATACAATAAGAAATTTCTATGTTACATTTCAGGACAATGTCTTGAAAATGGTGAAGGCAGCAGAAATTGAGGGTTTTAAACATTTTATTAATACTCAAGATGCAATGGATGACATCTTCAAAACAATACGCATGGAAGAACTTAAAAATGATGACAGCAAAGGTGTCTATGAACAGCTGAACAGAGTTTCCAGTATAATACAGCTGGAAGAACAAAGCCGTTTCAGCAGTTCAGCGAGTGATGTTTCCACACAAGACCCCTCTGAAGTCGGGGAAGAAGAATATGACAACAAAGCCTTTGATGGTTCAATTGAAGATGTGACTTGCAATGAAGACAAAGACACAGAGAACACACAATCGAATTATATTTGAAATTTTTCTTGACTTTGTAAAATTGATTCTATTCTGGCTATTTGGTGATATTTTTGTGGAATATCTTTTATTTGGATTACAGTTGGCTATGATTTCTGACAAGCTTCAATTAAACTTGAAGCATACAATGGTACTAGACTATACATATTATGTTTTACATTTGTTGCAATTTTGCAATTTCTGTATTCCTCCATTAATGTGTTGTAAGAGATAAATAATTTAAAGTTATATTGGGTATATAAGACAATTATTTCATAAATGCCTAATAAACTTGCTTATTAATAAAATTGTTATGCTTAGCAATGTATATGTTTTATAAATATTGTATATCAATTGTATGTAAAATTATAATTTTTTAAGCAGAAAAATTAAGTTCTGCAAGTTTATGGAAAATATATCCTTGGAATAAATACATCATATTGAATTATATAATAAAACAATTATCAACTTTAGATTTCAGTCAATATTCTGTTTTGCTGACCTCAGAAAAGTGACATTGAAAAAAAGAATACAGAACTTAGGATGCAGGTTCAATGTGGGGTCCATCAACTTGCAGACTTTACTGCTATTGCTACTGTCATTGCCATGGTAATTGCTATGGCCAATCGCTGCAAAAAGCTTAAGCCAAATTTATTTTGGATTCAAATTTGATATAATGATGCTACTTGCTTTAGGGTAAGGATTTTCATTAATGAAAGTCAGATCCTTCAAGATAAGGATCTTTAAGAGAAGGAAAATGCAGTAGTTGGGCCTTTAAACATTTATGTCTCATCCTATATATCTAATTTGAAACATGATAACAAAATTTTGCATCATAGTATATATCTTTGTAAATCTTTTATGCTTAATTTTAAAATATTAATAAATATTTGTCAAAATAAAAGAAAAAAGTCAAATAAATATTAAATTTTGTGTGTGTTTGCAAAATTTGTATCTTATTTATGACTAATTTAAGACCCCATTCGCATACCTAGATCGATGTAACAGGATTGATCCATCTCTTAGGGGTTTCTCGCTAAATTGCTTTCAGTTTAAGTGGCTAAGATGTCTGGCATGCCTACTGAAGCTGCTAAATGATAGTTTTTTATTCCCTTACAGCTTCAGTAGGCATACCAGACATCAGAGCTGCTTAAGCTAAAAGCAATTTAGTGAGAAACCCCTCAGAGATGTATCGATCCTGTTAGATCTATCAAAGTATGGGAATGGGTTGTAAGAGTGTACTAGTACATAAACAAATGAAGTGAAAGATTAATTGCTAGCCATTCTGTTCATTTAAACCTGGCATTCAGGGAATAAATTTAGCAGCTGATTATATTATATTTTATGAGACTTTATCTCTAGTTTGTAATAGTTTAATTCTTAAAGCAACATTTCCCCTCCTGCTGTTTTAAGATTGCACTTTCAAATGACTGAAGTCAATTTATAATTTAGGACATACTTAAAACAGTTGAGTGACCAAATATTTTCATTTATAAATCTTTACTGGTGCAAATTTGCACTGATAATCTTAAGTCTAAACATATTTTGAGAGTAATGCCACAGTCGCAGTAGGGGGCTTATGTTGACATTGAACCCTTGTCCCTAAAATAAACAGCCCCCCCACCCCATCACCCAAGGTTTGGTATATATCTTATCCCTATGTTGTCACATAATGTACATGCATGACCACAGCAAACAGCCAACCAAAATTATAGGAATATGTTTACACTCGGCATGTGATGTAGCCCTCGTGTGGTCCAGGTGTAAATCACTTTCATAGACAAACCTTATAACTACACCTGAATACACCTGAATATCTAATGTGAAAAGTTTACAATTATATTTCTAAAAAATGATCATCCCTATTCAATTGAAATCATTTTCTGCACATTATGGTCACCTAAAGGAGTTAATGCTTGGTTACTGGTAACATAGCAACTTGGCGAAGACCAGGCAGGGGCAGATCCAGAGATATTTTCTGAGTCTTCCAAATTATATCTGTTAAACCATCCCCCAATTTTGACCATCTTTCAACAGAAAAAGTTGAATGCCTGTCAATGTAAACAAAAAAATTCTGACCTTCTTCCAGAAGACCCAGAGGAATGCTTAATTCTGTCTGCCCCTGCAGGCCAAGTTCCAGGAGATAGGTTTGATATGATGCAAGGCGTGTAAGGTAGCGAAAGACCGCAAAGAGTTAACTTTTGGGTAACTAAACTAAACTAAACTAAACTAAATTTAACTATAAAATGATCAAAATTAGTTGACCCATCACATTCTTTCAATTTACTGAAAGTCATACTATTTGACATGATACTTGCCAATTTGACCAGTGGTGGTAGTGGTGGTGGAGCATGTCTTGTAACTCTGAAATATCAATGACATTCAACATCAACAAGTCTTACATGTAGTTCACTTTCAGTTAGACAGCGATCAACCATTGTGTTATATGCCACATTGATCAAGAAGATCATTTGAATCTTCTGTATTTGATCTAGGAGGGAAGTCAGCTAAAAATTCTTTTTCAGTGAAAAGCTGCATAAGGTGGAATGGTTATTGGGTTTTTTTTTCATGTATATCAGACAATCCAGCTTGCCTTTATACTTTGGCAGTCTATGACATCAGTTTTATAGTTTTCAGTCAAACTCACAAATAAGTGCGAGCTTGCCCTGTAAATGTTTGGTGAGTTTTTTTAGAAACTTGATCAGGTTGCTGAGATGGATATCTTGCCACTCTGAGTTTATAACATATGTTTTTTACATGCAAGTGTGAAAACTGGGTGTCCTTGAGGCCTGTCTGGAATAGGCACACAGTGTCTGTCTATGTGATATGTGTTATTGACACTAGTCTACCATGCAAGAAATTAAATTTAGAAAAAAAACATGATTTGTACCTTCCATTGTCTCACATTCCCCTTGCAATATAACACCTTTAACGTAAGTATACATCATGACATTTTATTCAAATTGGATGCTGGCAAGAGATGAAATGTCAAGCATTTCATTATTTTTCTGGGCTGGCTCAGAGAACTCACATATCCTATAACAATCAAATGGAGACAGAAAAATGTTCCACATCAGCTAGATGTCACATAAGAACACACTGGCTAAGTATTAAAAAAGGTAGGCACAAAAAAGCAGAATTTATAAAAAAAATGTTGTAATTAAATATACTTCCTTGTAGCTTGGGTTTTTTTATACCAACCAGGGTAGCAGTCTCTACTCAGAATGCTAAAAGAAGTTGCAAAATCTTTGAGCATTTCAGCAACAAAGTTAAATTTGTCAGCCTGATTTACAGTAATAATGCATCAATGATAATATGATAGCACTTACTAAGTGTTCCCATCCCTAGATTGATCTAACAGGATCGGTCCATCTCCACGGGGTTTCTCCCTAAATTGCTTTAAGCTTAAGTAGCTAAGATGTCTGGCACAACTGCTAAAGCTGCTAAACAATAGTTAATTACCCGTGACAGACATCTAAGACTGGGTTCCCACAGATTTGGATCGATCTATTTGGATCCACCTAACTCCCTGGGGGTTCACACTAAATTGCTGTCAGCCGGGAGAGCACGAAAGTTAATTACCCCCTTACAGCTTTTAGAAGCGGGACAGACATTTAAGCCGGCTAAGCTGACAACAATCTAGTGAGACTCCCCACAGGGATAGATCAATCTAAAATCTGTGGGAATGCAGTCTGAGCCGCTTAAGTTAATTGCAAATTAAGTGAGGATCCCCTTGGAGATAGTTTGATCCAAAGTTAGTACGATAGCTTCTGGGAATGGTCTTTCATTAAGTATTTGTGGTTAGCCTTTCAGAAAAGGGACTGTGCTGCACCCATCAGTGACATATCATTTCAAGAATATTTATTTATGTCTCCTCCATCTCAGTGTACCACGAACTTTTATGGTCTCATTCATAGCAAGAAAGAAGGCAACAAGGAGTACTGATTGTTTGTGATTTGGCCAAACAAGGCCGCTTTTATTATATAACCCCTCTATCCTAATCGTTTTAACAATAATAACAATGTAGCAAATTGTTGCCTGTATTAAATGTTATGGTTTATTTTTCTTAATATCTAATTTTATTTATGTATGTATGTTATGAATACCATTTTACTTGTTAATTTTTTTTAATTCAAGGTTTTCAGTTTATATTTCACGTTTTTATATGGCTGTGCTGTACATTATCAGAGGCACATGCCATATTGCATAAGCTACAGAAATAAATTTGCAAATTTTAAGCATCTGTGGCAGTAACCTCTGATAGCAATAGGTTAAGTGTCACAAGAAAGTACTTTTAAAAGATGTACATGTGTGAGAGGATATGCTCTTTGCACATACATGTAACAAGATATGGTTTTGATCCATTACCTGCGACCCTGAAGACACTGGTACATGTACATGCAGGTGGTCAGTGATCATTTTAAGGTGACAAGGCAAAGGCCTTTTTTAACACCAGTGGATTATTCCATTTCCCATATCAAGTTATACTGTAGGTCAACTGCATGTTATTTCTCATGATCCCATATTCATAATGCAGATGTGATTATTTTTTGGGGAATAAGTGAAATAATCACAAGGTCATGCCCGCCCCCCAAGAGAAAAATACATTTAAAAAAAGAAATTCAGGACAGTTGTACAAATGTAATTATGGTATCTGTTTTTTGTCTGCAAGCTTTGTGCAAATACGTATATGTTTCAGTTCAGTATAAACTACAACTTTTTTCATCTAGATTTTACAAGTTCTGCATTTAGAGATTATGCCCCACTATATTTAGCCGAGTAGGTCACTCGTGGGAATAAAAAATTATTCAAACAAAAATTACAGTGAATTTTTATGGTTTAATGAGTTATCTTTACGTACAATAAATGAGTTGAAAAAATATACACTGTACATACTCGTACATAGTACTACTGGTAGTATGGGGTACTGTACAATGTACACATGTATGCTGATAAATGTAAAAAAAACTTACTTCCATTATATTCAGAAAGGCCTAGAGAATGGGAGTTGAATGACAGCATTTTTATTAAAATAAAGATAGTGTTTTATTTTTCAATGGTGATTATGCTCGTCTTTGGTAATGTTAATGACCCCTGGTTTGTTATGAGTGTTCTGATTTTGAAACTTGAAAGTGCAAGTGCAATCGAGATGTCACCACTGATGGCAGCGACAGGGCAAGCCACATGACGAAATTGAAAGTCATTCCAAATGTATACGCTGAGGTAATCAAAACACATCACCCTTGTCTGTAAACGGTTTGAAGAGATGCCGGTCGTTCATATTAGCAAAAACGAGCACATTACGAGTCGCCGTCTTGGTGTGGAACCTGTAGGCTGTCTTGCGTAAAGACGCATGCGCACTGGGTCGAGCAGGTGCTGTAGCCTGTTGACGTTGTGGAGTAGGAGGCTGTCAGACACCGGTGTTTTGTGTGGACCCAGTTCTTATTAGTGCTCCGGTGAGTAAAATAGCGAATGAGATTACATTTTGGGCAATGTGAAAATTGTGCATTAACACTCTGGTTAGATTTGTTGATATCACAAGACCTGCACCGTGACTTGTCCTGTTGGTGTTACTAGTGTTTACGTTGTGCTACGTCGACGTTGATGTTGATACCGCAGTCAGCGCTACTACAAACTGTGCCTTTCCATGCTGTATACTACGTTCCAATCTGCAGCTAGATCGGTTGTGAGTAACTTTGCAAGAATGTTTTCATAGGCACAACTGCAGTTTGTTTACCCCTTCAAATCTTTAATAATTAGGAAATCGTTTATGGCGTTAAATATATTGTCCACTTTAACCACAGCAATCAGCAGTTTAAAATGGAATATGCTGTGGGCATATGTCCTCATTATGAAATCTGATTTGCCAACAACCTAATGTATACTCGTAAGTTCTAACTAGAATAGCACTGAGTTACTGAAAAAGGGTACTTTTGCAGTATTCCCCCACCCATTAATCCTCCCATTTTAATTAATGTCAATCAAAATTAACTTATGTGGACTGTGGTGACTGAAAATGTACTAATTTTTTTATTTTATTTATTTATTAAGTAAATTTCAAGCTCTTTGACAAATAAGATCACAGCAAATATTCACTCTAGCAGTGGCCGTGGCTCTCATAACATTTAGCTGGCATAAAGTTCCATGTAAAAATCGTGAAGAAGAAAACTAAAAATGTGATAATTATCATATGGTTTTTTTCTAAGTTTGCAGGATATTTGACAAAGTCATGCCAACTCTTTTTTTTCCTTTTTTTGCTTCCATAAAAAATCAAATTTTTTTCTGATTTCTCAAGTCAGATTCTTGGTATTTGGCAAGAAATTTTGCTAGTGTGTATCTAGTATGAAACAAATTGAAAGGGAAACATTTGCCATATATAAATCCTTTTTTCTTCTGAAAAGGATTATAGAACTTCGGACAGATTCAATGTCAGGTCAATCATCTTGCAGACTTTGCTGCTATTGCCACTGTAGCTTAATTGCTGTTATTGCTGGTTATTGTTGTGGTAATTGTTATGGCCAATTGATGCAAAAACTTAAGCCAAATTTATTTTGGGCTCAAATTTTATATAATAATGCTGCTTACGTGAGTGCAAGAATTTTTAATTTATGAAAATCAGACCCTTCAAGATATGGATCTTTAAGGGAAGGGAAATGCAGTAGTTGGGCCTTTAAATAATATGTCTCATCCTGTAGAATGATATCCTTGCTCTGAATATCTAACTTGAAAAATTAACATGATCAAAAATCATAGTTTTATCTTTGTATAACTTTAATTCAAGAACTTAATGAAAGAAAAAGGAAAAAAACACTTATATTTTTTTTGAAAGATAAAAAAAAAGAGTTTTATATGTTTAGTTTTTTGTGTGTTTGCAAAATTCATATCTTGTTTATGGCTATTTTAAGATCGTACTGGTACATATTTCAAAAAGAAACAAAATTAAAAATTAATTGCTAGTCATTCTGTTCTATTAAACCTGGTGTAAAGTGAATAAATTTAGCAGGTGATTATATAAGGGGATTCCATTTTCATCAAACTTTATCTCTCATTTGTAAATGTTTAACTCTAAAGCCAATATCTCCCCTCCTTCTGTGTCAAGGTTGCACTATTGGTGATTTAAGTCACTTTCATTTATTTGGAATATATAAATTTAAGAGATACTGAAAACAGTTTACTGACCAAATATTTCCATCTATAAATCTTTACAGGTGCAAATCTGCACTGATAATCTTAATTCTTTACATATTTTGAGAGTAATACCACAGTCGCAGTAGGGGGCTTAGGGTGACATTGAACCCTTGTCCCTAAAATAAACAGTTCCCCCCATCACCCAAGGCTTAGCATATATCTTATCCCTGTGTTGTCACATAGTATACATTTATGAATGCTTTTCTAAGCTTAACAGTTGACCAAAATTATAAGGAACGTTTACACATGACATGTGATGCAGCCCTTGTGTGGTCCAGGTGTGAATCAGTTTTGATAGACAAACCATATCATAACACCTGAATACATTATCCAGTGTGAAACGTATACAATTATATATTTAAAAAGTAATCATCCCTTTTCATTTGAAGTCATTTTGTGCACATTATGATCACTTCAGGGGTTAATGTAAGAGGCAGGTGGTATCAAACGGGGGCCCTGCCATCACTGGTGTAGATCTCCACCCAGAGCAGAATGTGTTCAACATGTTTCTGTTGTAGTACACATAATAAAGGACAGAGATCTACATTTGTACCAGTAATGTTAACACTTGAAATATCCAAAATGCACAGAAATAACTGCAAATAATTACAAATAATCATTTTATTCATTTTTATGCCCCAGTAAGTGATGTTCCCATTATAAAAATATATAAAAAGCCTACATCAATCCTCTTTGTATTTTTAAATTATTTTAAACTGTTAAAACAGTTTTTGTTTGAAAACCTATCATTGGTCACCCAGCACATGGGTAATGTAAACTTAACCTTGTATCTTGGCTCGGCTGATTGTCACATGCACATCATGATACAGATAGTGATAGATAGCAGTCCAAAGTTGATCTTCACTGAAAGACCAAAACTGTAAAGGCCTTGTAATCAATAATTGCCATTTGTGATCTCAAGTTGAGTTTTGTGTCCACCAATGCCGATATAATGACTTAAACTTGAATGCTTTCAACATGGCAGAAGATGCAAAGAACTGCACTGACAAATACCAGTGAAAATTGTTCTTTTGTGAAACCAGTCCAATTTCATGACTTATGTAATGAGTAAGCTATATATTCACCTTGATTAGAACATTCTGTCTTTATGATGATTTGGTCCTTGAGATATATCCATCATTACATACGATTCGAAGCAGTCATAAAACTAAAAATAATGATATTTTTCTTTAGATTTTCTAGTAGTTAACAATAGTTATCTTGTTGTCTGCTTATCAGTGTATTGTTACATAAGATGAAAGAAAACAACTTTGAAGCTCATTTTTTTGCCCATTGTATTTTTCTTTCCATAGGGGAAGAGACAATTGATGTCAAACATGATTTGCACTATTTAGTTTTTAGTTTTAAATGACAAAATAAGGATCAAATTTGTTACAAAAAAAATCTTTAGATAATTTTTAGTGTGTGAAATATATTACTTGCATATCCAAAATTATGTTCAGACTGAAAAAAAAATACCTATTTTGTTACCCATTTGTGTTTTGCTATGTTTTTTTTTTTAAATAGTGGAGATCTTTTCTTCTGTAGCCAGTCCTCAATGATGCTTGCTTATTAACAACAGGAAATTAAAATATTTAATCTCTGGCTGTTTCGGTGCTGAAAAACACCTAATTTTTAATGAACTCACATTTTGCTAGATGCACCTCTTTCTGATGTCAGAATAAGTGTTCTAATTTCAACAAGCCCAAAGAATTCATTGACGTGAGCATCATTAATCTTCCATCGATTACTGTCATCCTGCCTACTTGTGGACTTCATATTGATTTTAATACATGTGGTGGCTCTGATAACAGCCTACAGCTGAAGGCTGTCCAAATTGGAATATTTTCTAGCATTTAGAACCCTTATGTGATGGATGGTTGCTTCTGGGAAGATTTTCTTATTTATTCTATACTCCCTTTGACAAGGCTTGAAGTATTTAGTTATGATTTGGACAAATATAGATATGAGTGTTACATACAAGAATGCTAATTTTTTCAAATAATTTGGCATCTCTGAAGAGTTAATTTTGATCAGATACTGCAATTTGACTCAGATTTGTTTCCATTATATTATTATATATTATAGATTATGTTATAGCAGGGTATTAGTTTTTTTTACAGTTCCCTGTCACATGGAGTACATAATTCAGTTTTACACCTTAAGTCATAGTTCTTATGCTCATCTCTTGGAACAAATGGCTTTTCATTAGAGTCTCCATTGATTTGTTCAAAGATCAATGAAACTAAAACCCAGAATAATGGCTATGAGCTTTTTGAACAATCAAAAGCTCTTGATGCAATGGACTTTAACTTTCTTGCCTGTATTTGATTAGTAGCAGATGGTTTAACAAGCCGATCTTGTTTTTGAAACCTTGTAATATAGTGACATAATGTCTGTTTTCTAATCAATATATTATTCATTTGGTTGTCTTATCTGAAGAAGAACAAGCAATTGAAAAGTTTGATGACAAAATATGCCTTCTTACAGTTGGAAATGTTGATTTAGCTGTTTTATATTGTCCTTGTGTCCTTAATTTGAACAGACATACCTACCTGCACAGGTGTGACTGTACTTTTCTCATAATTTATGTTCACAGTCATTGAACTTTTACACCTACCTACACTAAATATATTCAATATGAGTGATTTTTTTTTTTTTGCTTTTGGATACAGAATTTGACTAAAATAAAATAAAATATTATTTAGTGTCCATATAATATATTGTAGTCCATAAAATAAAACATGGTCTAGTAAAAATATGTAATATAAAATTTTTACATGGCCAATTTTTTCCACTGTAGGCCATTGGATTCTTGCAGGGCCAGCAGGCTAAATAGTTTTTGGCATAGACTTATTTCAGTTTTTTTTTTCAATGCTTATTCAGTCAATAAACCATTTATAATTATATGTAGCACGTATCTAATGTGTAACATATAAAAATCCTATCTTACACAATTATGATTGGATTTTTATAAACACGTGGGCATAAAGCTATGTAGATCGTTTCTTAAACAGGTCATGCCATAGACAGATTTTGAGTGGGCTTATTAAGAAAACATTCTAAATTTTTTTTTAACACCTAAGAATAAATTGAAGATTTGTCATAAGTATTTTGTAAGATGTATGAATCATAATTTCATCACGTCATCGGCATTGTGTTTGTGAGTGAATTTGAGGTCAAAAATTAGGTTTAATAGTCATGGCATTAAAAAAATTTAATCTCAGTTTTTGACATGCTTTTTGCAGTGATTAAGATTGCAGCAAAAGTTTATGTCAACATGGCTCTATTCTGCTGGTGTGTGTGTGTGTGTGGGGGGGGGGGGTTCAGTCACTTTCAATAGCATAAGAAAGAATAGTCTAAGCTTCAGATATTTTGTAACTATAAGATGCTGATATGCTTGAGATATTCTGTGTGTGTGCGTGCATGCTTGTACATGCATGTGTGTGTGTGTGGCTTCATGGGGGTGTGGATCACAGTCACTGTAGTCCTAGTTCCCCCAGCAGCTGCATCCCCATCCCCTGCAAACATGTTTCTCTGCCTATGGCCCATGTCATGTTCATAAATTTTTTTTTTTTTAAGTTTTCATAGGCTGGAGCAGACCTCCAAAAGGAAACAGCTTTCTTCCCCTCTTTACAAAGGCCTCCTAAATGTGTATATATGGAGTTACATTCCCCTACAGAGTCTGCTACTTTTAACAATTGGTTGCTTTTTAAAAATTGGTAAGAGTTTCAGTGTCTTATTTTTTATTACCTCTCCAAAAAAGGAAACAGCTATTCCATCACATCATGCCACAGTAGCAGTGGCGGGTAGTGCTCTATGTTGAAAATAATGTACACAGGGTAGTACTCCTAGACCAGAAGCCCCCTAATCTGGATAAGCAACTTTATCTTTCCAGAGATGACTTGCATCATGCTACATTGGTGACCTGGTACAGGCCTACTTGTTCCTGGCAGGTGGTGACAGAGGGAGCTCCCAGTGGGAAGGTTGTACAAAGAATTCACAAGTTATCAGTAGCAGGGGTCCAGCCTGAGGGACAAGTCGTCACCAGGGGCCAGAAACACGTTTGACCATTTATATTGACGAGGCAACATACCACTTGCATTCTGGCGTGTTTCTTTTGGGAATTTTGCTTTTCTTGGGGGACATAAACAACTGTCTTTTGCCCAATTAATTATCAGTGTAATCAGTTTTGAAACTGGTTCACTTATTAACTTTTACACAGTGGTTGAGCAGACTGGAATGAAATGGATGCTACTAAGAAATACTGCAAGGAAGCTTTTTCTGTGAAGACTTTAAAGAGAAGATTTCCCATCATAACATGGTTACCAAAATATAGGTAAGTCTTTGGACTCATCATTTAATAATTATCAAAAAAATAAAATAAAAACTCCATACTAATAAAATACATAACAAAATACTGTAGAATATAATTTAACATTCAATTCACATTAAGATTGTTCTTTTTTTATAATGCCTGCATAGTTTTTTATGCCAAAAGTCACTGTTGAATTATGTAAGAAGAATATTCCGTAAGAGTATCAGATAGCATATATGATAAGGGGATTATAGAATTTGCAGGGGAGGGGGTTCAGTGAACATTCTCCACATTTCAGTGCATATATATTAAGATAAGATAAATCGTTTGATCCTCCTTGTTTGCAAAATGTGTATAGAGTCAAACTATCTCTTTTATCCAAGTGGCAGCTGATACAGTGACTAGTATGTGGTCCTTGTCAATACCTCATTTGTCATCAGGGGTCTAAATAAATATATCTATTGCAAATATCAGTTGAGCGATAGAAATATATGTAAGAAAAACCGCTTTCTGTAAATATGTTTAGTTTTAAGTTGGGAATGTAGAATGTAGATAACAGCATCTTCAAAGGCAGGTCAAACTTTGCTCATCAAAATGTGTCACAATATCTTATCGTTCATGTTTGATACGGCAACATTGTACTTGAAGATAATACAGCTGGAAAGTAGGGATATAAGTACTGACCCAGTTATTTAAGATATTCATGGGACAATTTTGAAAGAATTTATGTTTTCATCGGTCAGTTAGACATAATTAAAAAGTGATTTTTTATTTTGTCTATGAACAATGTGTCATAGTTTGATTTTTGGTGATGTGAAGGCGTGTATACAACTACATGCTGATTTTGGCTAAAAGTTTAAAAAAATGTTATATGAAGGCTTTCAAGTTTCATAGCAAAAATGCTAAGATGAATGGCAAATTAAGTGCCAGGTGTTAAGATAAATAAATTAATAGTATGTTACTCTGTATAAACATTGTAGCTAGCAGTAACAGGTGAATATATATATATATGTGTGTATATGTTGAATCAGCTGGCATGTCATCAATGTTTCAGGTGTAGGGGATTGATTGTTTTGCTACATAGCTGTTATATACTAGTCATTGACAAGTGAAAATTGTCACAGTAGTTGATAACATGGACATTTATAATATAAGTTTAAAGAACAGTTTGGAAATTGTGGATTTCTGTGATTTGATGAGGGCAGTGCTTTTTTATTGAGTTATATGTAGGTGATGTATATATTAACACATGAAATGTTGTCTTAGGACACTTTAACCATTTGGGAAAGTGTTTCCAATGGAATGAATCATACAATTTCTTTGGAATTTTTACTTTTCAGTGTAAAATGACAGTCCTAACTGGTAAATTGATTAAATTCTTCCCAATACCTAGTATATACATTTTGTAATAAGAGTGTCAAAATCACAAAGTTTATATTTGTTAAGTGTTCGATCTTATTTGTCTGTATCTTATACTTTTCACTTTACCTTTAAGCCCAATCTTGTTTTGTATTTGAATGCCTGATATTTAAGGTGCTACAATTCTAAACAACAACTGTTTAGAAGATGTTTGTGGACACTATGATGATCTTGTCTGGCCATTTCCTTCTGTTAATTTCTGTCACTCACATGAAAAAAAGTAGAATCTTCATATACTTGATCACCATAAGATGTAGGTGTGTCTGATGTAGTGTGTTTTTGTGTGTGTGTGTGTGTGTGTGTGTGTGTGTGTGTGTGTGTGTGTGTGTGTGTGTGTGTGTGTGTGTGCGTGCGTGTGTGTGTGCCCATATGAAACCCGGTTATACTGCACAGAAGTAATTGATGGAGTAAAATGATGACATTTTGGCCGAAAGTCCAAAGCAGGCTCCAATAAGCTAGCACATGTCTGATTAAAATTTTCTTCCCAAAAGTTTTCAAATCAGCAAAAAAAAAAAGGAAATACTTCTGTTTATTTCTCTTTTTGTTTAACTATATTTTCTAGGCTGAAACATTTGCAAGGAGATGTCATTGCAGGTCTCACAGTGGGTTTGACAGTACTACCACAGGGACTAGCCTATGCACAAATTGCTGAGCTTCCACCACAGGTAAGCCATCCATATTGTTAATTTAATTTCATACATTACACACTAGTTGGCAACTATATCAGATAAAATAAGTATAAAAAATACAGTGGCACAAGCTATAAGCCATCAATGGTTTTTAAAAAGCTTTTTTTCCACTCTTTACTTGAACTCCATATGATTAAGAGTAGTTGAAGAAATTAAACAGCTAGCACAATAAATGAGCAATTTGAATTTTGAATATAACATGTTTCATTTTGTGAATGATTATGTGATTTATGACATTTTCATTAAAAAAATCAATTATTTCTTTTCAGTATGGGTTATACTCTGCCTTCATGGGTTGTTTTGTGTACACGTTTCTGGGAACATCGAAAGACATTACTATGGGACCAACCGCCATCATGTCTCTTATGACAGCAGATTTTGGACAGACTGAATGGCTTCCACACAATGCCACCAATGCCATCATATTAACATTCTTTGCTGGGATAATCCAGATGATTATGGGATTCTTACATTTAGGTAATGCATTTTAATAAACAGAAACAATGATTTTATTCAGTTTTGCAGTTTGCTTTGGGGCCTGTGGAATGTTTTTTTCATTAAAATTCAAATTGCTCTCTTTGGTTATATCATATGAATAATAATACTGTAGTAATTCTGAACATTACAGCCTAAAGGTATTGTATTATCAATCATATTATACCAAATATTTTAATTTACATTAACATGTGTCATAATTTAATTGCCTTCTTATGTTTTTATGTCTGTGTTAGTTAGTGACTGTTAACGCTGTGCTCAGTGTATCCAGGGTACCTTGTACAGGGTGATGGCAAAATTCTCTCCCATACTTAGTTTTATCAAAGCTGAAACTTTACATAGAATTTGTCTGTAGTATGTGTTCATTCAGTAGACTTTGCAATGCTGATAGACCTGCTCTTAAGAAATAGGTATTTTTGGAGTCTACATGATCAGTTCCCTGAAACTTCCCTTATTTGAATGTCACACGAATTTACTTACAATACAATAAATTATATTTTTAACATTTTAGACAAGAAGTGGAATTTGAATAAGGCCTTTGACTTAGCTTCAGAGTGTTCTTTGTTTGTCATGAATCCTAGTAAAAGAATATTGAATACAAACATATTCTAATATTTTTGGGGTTTCCCTGTAAGTAGTTTGTATTTTTACAATTCTTGATTTATTCTGTGGAGTTCATGCATGTTGTAATTGGGGGATGGAGGATGGCATGAAGTAATTTTTTTCAAAATAAAAGACAGAAAAGACACATGTAGGATATGACGCAAAAGTTGATGTGTTTCAGTTTGATTTGCTTTTTGTAATGCTCAGTAACTGCCTGTAAGTGATAAAATTAATTACATTATTGTTATCAGATGCTAACTCATGGAATTTTTTAGTAAGCTCACCACACTGGTATCAGATAGATGCACTGCCAGCAACACAGTGGAACATAGTGCTTATTGGGTAAATGTAAAAATGACTTTGCCTGCAAGGAAGGTGGGGATATTTCCGCCACAAAATTGTTCATACTGGTTTTATCTGATATTTCAGTTTTTGATTAAAAATAAGCTTTAATGTGTAACAAAAGATGGCATATTTGTAATACTCAGTAGCTGATGCTGATATTATCTGGTATTTCAGGTTTTATCGTCCAGTTTATATCCTTCCCAGTGATCAATGGATTTACGTCAGCGGCATCCATTACCATTGCATTTGGTCAGCTCAAGGTATCAATTGAAACCCTTGAATATAATCAGTTTAATTAATCATTGGGTTTTTTATTCATAATAATACATTATGTTACGATAACACAGTAGGAATAATATGCCTCAATTATGCTACAAAGTATTGTCTATCTTCATCTGAAGTGGTCATTGACCAGTTCAAAGTTAATTTTGCTACCATTGGCACTGGGTCCATTGATATGAAAATAAGAAAAAAGAACAGTAATTATTTTAGGTGTAATTTAGCTGGGTTCCATTCGTATGTTTGATGGATTGCTTCTCATTGGTCATAAATCATGCCTACAGTTGTCAACTGCTTGTTGATTATCTGCTCATGTAGAGGTTATTCTGACTTGATAATGATATTGCTACTTTAATTAGAATTGTAGAAATGTTTGTGAATTGTGTTGTATTGATGTTTCAGAACTTACTAGGCCTCAAAGGCATTCCTCGAGATTTTTTACATATGGTTTATGAAACATTCCGGAAAATTCCAGAGACCAAGTAAGGTGCATTTAGTTAAGATAATGGCAATTAAAACAAATTTCTTTGAAGTCTTCAGTGAATTATTTTAATGGATAATTGTTTATTTTAGAAGAAAACAGGGTAATGTTTTGTAATTGAATGTATGTTTTATTGACATATTTCATTAATGAAGTTATTATTTATTATTTCAGTATATGGGACCTTGTAATGGGCCTCTGCAGTATGGTGATACTTGTGATCCTTAAGGTTTGTTCACCTCAGCCAATATATTAAGTAATCTCAGTTTATATACTATTGTTGCTTTTTACAGTAGATATGTCAGTGAAGATGTGTGTTGCATTCTTTTAGCTTGGTTGCCTTGTTACTAAATCTTAATAACACATTGCATGCAGCATGATGTATTAAAGGAGACAGTTGTCGCCACCATCATTACTAACGGCAGTTCCTCATGCCATGGTTAAGTTTGATGTAATAAGCCTCTTTTTGTTTCAGTTTATAAAAGACCTTAAATATGATGATGAAGAAGGGGTCGTACTCCCAATGAGCACCAAAGTGTCCAGGAAGATTTTATGGCTGGTTGGCACAGGTAGAATATTAAAACTTTATCATCTTTATATTTTATAATCATTTTACCCTCAACATCAGGTAATAATATTTTGTTTTGGTAGGTATTACTGGTAAAAATTCTGATAATTTCACTCAATTTGTAGTTGCCACCGAAATTATAAACTTAAAAAGTGTTTTAAGCAAATTGGGTTTCCATGTTTAAAAAGATTTCTCATACCTTTTTCTTTCTGAGAAATTCCTGCAGCAAAAATAATAGCATTCACTAGTGCACCTGAAATGGTATAAATCTGCAATTTGAGATCACAAACAATCTTACATGGTCTTAATAATTAAAGAAATGGTCTTACCATGGACTGACTCTGCATTTAAGATCAAAAGTGAACTTAACCTGGATGAGGTAGACTATGATTGGACTGACTTCCAGTTGTTAATATGCTATTGTCTCCAGTCACACATTCCCCCATTGTGAGGAGAGGTATCCTCTAGTCAGTCTTACTCATTGATTAAGACCACATAAGATCATTTGTGATCTGAAACTGCAGAATAAGACCATTTCAGACACACTAGTGATTGGTTTGGAAACCGAATGTTTGTCTTCTTATAACTATACTGAGCACTCTGATGAAAGTGAATCTGTATGGTATTGTCAACCATGTTGAGAAAAATTTTAACTTTTCACTTCCTACACAAACTTTTGAGAGATGAAAGATGATGTAGGATATGAAAAGTAGACAAATTTCTCAACATGACATACTGAACACTTCTTTCCTGTTTGTATTTAGCCCGCAATGCAGTTGTGGTGGTGGCTGCGGCTGGCATAGCTGCAGCTCTCCTAGCTAAAGACATAGATGTCCTAAGTCTGACTGGAAATATCCAGGAGGGCCTTCCCCCATTTAAATTGCCCAATTTTACCCTGCAAATTAGTCCCAATGAAACTATAGGAACTGGTCAGTTATTTCAGGTAAGGGTGTTGCTTGGTTATGATCTGTAAATGATGGTAAAAGATCAAATTCAATTTAATTAATTGTACCAAGGAGAATAACATGTTTGTATGTTGAAAGATTGTGGCCTTATGTCCCACACGGGACGATGAGCACTGATGATGATGTTGAAAGATTAATTGATTTATAGCTGGTTAACCGTGTTACTGTGACGTTATCCAATATGATATTTTTCTTATTTCATTTTTATTGTTGAATAATTTTAGACATATGGTGCTAAAGAAATGGTATGTTCAAAGCTATTTCAGTGTTATTTTTAATATCTTTTTCTTTAGAATATTGGAGCAGGATTTGCAATTATTCCTCTGATTGGGCTATTGGAGACCATAGCAATAGGAAAAGCCTTTGGTAATGGCAGCTTTCAGACTTTCTCTACTTTTTATGAGCACACTCTTTTATTGATTCCATCAAATCAGCCTGGCTTGTAGATAAGTATGCAACTCTGCTGTTGTTTGCTGTAGATAAAACATTATTACATTTTAGTCATAAACTCAGTTTGCATTCATTGGATTTCCGCTGATAAATATCTCCTTTGTAAATTTATTGAGGTTCATATATTTGATAACTTGAATTAAAAAAATTGAGTTTTGGTTTATGTTGGTATATATAGATTTAAGCTGAAATTACTCTGATGATAACTGCAGTGATGAAATTAACACCAAGATAAGGACTTTGTTTCTATTTTGTAGCAAGAAAAAATGACTACTCTATTGAGCCAAATCAAGAATTGATTGCCATGGGTGCCGCCAACTTTTTGAGCTCGTTTTGTTAGCTCCTATCCAATAACTGGGAGTTTTTCAAGGTATTGTTTGGGCCATTTAGCTTATTGGCAGGTGGATAATATTTATTTTGGTGCCATAATATTTATTTTGGTGTTGGTAATTAAAATCAATGAAATCTATTTCAGTTTGTCACTGAATTATTAAAAATTTTGTCTACTTGGTCCAAACAAACAATCAATAATAATAATAATGTAGCTCAATAAATGAAATTGTTTATTATGCTGCATTTGTTTTAAGTACAGCCATATAAAAGGCAAACACTTTTATTTGCAAACAAAAATTTCCCCTTTGTGCACTGTACCACCAGGTGCTTGGCAGGTTTTTTCCAACAAGTGTTAGGGCAGCTATATATATGTTACATTTATTTGTAGATTCTTAATTTTCTTGTTGAGTGGATTTGTTCCTGGCAAACTATTGGTCTTGGATAAAATCCTGTAATTGCATTAAGAACACTTTTCTGAATTAAAAAAAAATACATCAAAAAGTACCAAGCATAGATAATATATGGCAAAGCAGGGTCCTAGTTAAAGCAACAATTTGAGCAGTGAAAAGTTTAAAGCAGCCTTTTATAAGTAGTTGTTCTGCATAGATTAAGGTTATCTGTCCTTGCTCCCTCATAGATATCAGTGTCATGATAAATGATGTTGACTATTATTTATGGGTCAGAGTTATTACCAGTGTTCCAAATCATTTACCAAACAGTGTACATATAAAGCAAGCTTAGATTTCCAGTACCGCTTATAAATCACTTCTACTAGTTTCATATATGAGTAAAAAAAAGTCGACATGACATTCTGCCCAAAAATAACTTTAAAACTGCACCTTCCAATTTTTGGTCGTAAATTGACCTATTTAATTTCTGACCCTCCAGTTCATAGAGGTCAGTTATAGACCTAGTACTGAACACGAATTGCATAATCATCACTTACTCCCATCGCCATGTATGGATGTATAGCTGCATGCCCAATTGCGTACTTATTCAAACAAGACTTCTGACGATATTGATAGCACAGAAAGAAAGCAAAAAAAAAAAATTGTTCACATATCATTTTTTGGGAAATATGTAACAACCTCCTTTGGTACTTCTCTAAGTTTTACTGTTTGAAACTATATGGTGGCATTTAGTCGCAAAAATGTGGCAAAAATGTGACTTTCAATGCATCATTAAGATTTTCAATTAAAGTAAAGAGCAAGTTTTGCTGATTAAAATAGTGTTTCAAAACAGGTTAAGATTATCTTTTACATCAATTTTTTTTCATTTATGAAAGCTGTATCTAAAAAATTGCAGATCTTAAAAGTATAGAGCATTCTGCTGCTTTATTTAATTGAGTATGGGTTTGAAACAATTGCTTGAAACGTGTTTTATGTTGCTTTGTAGAACTGCCGTGAACTCTGCTAGTGGGGTACGAACACCTGCTGGTGGTATCTTTACAGGTAAGTTCACTGAACTTTTGGGTATACTTCTACTTCACCCTGCTGATTTAAACTGTGTAATACCTGCCTGTGGGAATTAAATTTTTTTTTTTAGCTCTAAGCACTTGAAAAATATATTGGTATTAACATTGAATCTTGTTTTATTTGTACATAGTTGATGAATACTTCTCTTTTTATGATAAGGAGTCAATTTTATCTTGGATAAGAAGTTCTTAAATGATATTTGATTGTAAGGCTGTGCCACTTTTCTTGAAAATTGTATTTGACAGAATGTTTTTATTATACTGTAAAAGAGAAATAAATGTTAGTGAAGTGATCATAAAGGTGAGTAATCTTCAATTTATGAGTTGACATAGGAATATTGGATTTATGAAATACAATGTTAAGTATACAATACATTTGTTCTTGTTTTGCTGTACAGAATGAGCTTGCTTCCCTTCACTATTATTCCCCAGTATTTTGATGCAATTATATTCTAACTGATAAAATTATATGCATATTTTAGGTCTTTTGGTGGTGCTTGCCCTCGCCCTCCTTACCCCGTTGTTTTACTACATTCCTGATGCTGCCCTTGCTGCAGTCATCATCACTGCTGTCTTAGACATGTTTGATTGGAAGATCTACTTGACTTTATGGAGAGTTAAAAGTGAGTCTTGGTGTTCTTGTCGTGTATGGAATTCACTTTAAATTGTGGTTGAATATGTTTCAAAATGAAAAATATAGAAAGTTCTTCAAAGTCACAGTGGTTAATTTAAAAAAATTATTTTTTTTCATTAGTAGAAAATATTTTGAGCAGTAACAGTGTTCTTTATATATTCCAGAGCTAGACATCATTCCCCTGTTTTCCACTTTTATCATGTCCTTTATCCTGGGAATAGAGGTAGGTGAAATGCAGTTTATCATGAGACTTAAGGTTATGCATACTAAATGGTTTTACTTTTCTCTCTTTACAACTTTGTGTCATGCATTCCTTAATGAGTCACTCAAACAAAAGCATTCTGTTGTATGTAAAACAGGTTGTTTTATATGCAGAACACATGGCATGTGATGAGTGAAAGAAAAGCACAATTGATGAATCAGAAGAAAGCTGGTCTTGTTCTCTTTGTGGAGCACAGTTTGTGATGTACTTTACAAAATACTTGTGTTGAATAGTAAATCGTTGCAGGTATAACAGTGTTTTGGTTTCATGAATGGTAAAATGCAGATTTTTTTGATTGGCTGTACAAGAATCACTTTCTTTTTAAAGAAGGGGTTAATAAAGCCATGCTTGATTAGCAGACCTTATCATAAAGAATACCATCACTTTTCACTTGGAAAAAACATCAAACTTTTATGTTGTAGTATGGTATCCTAATTGGCATTGGTCTGTCCTTGATGATTGTCCTGTACCCCATGGCAAGGCCACACGTCAAGGTGGGTAAATCTGTAGCCCTTTGTTGAAATCATGCCGTCTTTTTTATCAATACATTGCTTGATAATGTGTCTTTTTTAGTATTCAAAGTCTCCATTGTGATGAGACATGCAAAAAATGATCATTAATTTAGCCATGCTGCTCTTTTTGGTGTTTATTTCTTCTCATTGTTATTGAACATTTAACTTTTATCTCTCATCATTCTAATGTAGCATTTATGATTTATGTTGAATTCACTTTTTTAGTTTCTTTTAAGAATTTAATCTTCAGTGTGTTTTATGCATTTGAACCCTAGATGGGTAGTAAAGACATCATGTTGGTGCAGCCAGACCAAGGCTTGAAGTTCCCTGGTGTAGAATATGTAAGAGATAAGATATATACCAGAGCACTTATAGGTAAGACAAAAGGAGTGCTTATAATACCTGTCTCTTGACTAGAACATGAATGAAATAGTTGAAAAAAAAGAACAACTAATGCTAGTTATAGGGGCTTGATTTAAAAGGGAAGGGAAAGGAATAAAAACCCACATTTTCAGATATGTAGAGTAAAAGTCATCTTTATCATTGTATTGGTATAATAATTGATAAAAAAATGAATTTCAGGTGAAACCCCAAGAAGTGTTGTATTTGATTTCACTCATGTATCTGGAGTAGATTATACAACAGTGCAGGTAAGATTGTGAATGAACATTATCAAAGGTAGAACAGATTCTTGTATTGGACTATGTAGAAAAAAATTTACCTTGGCAGTGTGATATCAGTTAAGTTAAATGGACTTTTTAAGAATAACTATTTGCAAAACCAGTATCTTAAAAACAGATCTTCATTAACATTTTTCTCAAAAATGCACAAAAGCATTGATGATCTTATTTGATTTTTATTTCAGTTGGTGGAAAGATTATATGAAGACTGTAAAAAGCACAAGGTGCAGATAGCATTTGCAGGCATGAGGGTGAGTAAATTAACTCTACATCATTTTAGGCATAATCACTGAATAAGAGGATAGTATGAGGTATGCAATACTACTTATTTTTTATTTGAAAATTTGCAAATATTCTGAGCAAAAGGTTTATTACTAAGATAACTGAAGTATGGCTAGTTTGCATTGCACATAGAAATATATTTTTTCTGCTGTGGACATGTTCAGCAGTCTGTTCCAGAATGATGAATTTTCATTTTTTTTTCTTTTTTGGATATTATAACTGAAACTAAATCAAGTTGTTTATGTCTACCTCAAGTGTATTATGCATTTTAAATGATTTGAAAACGTGGTCAAAGTCTTTCATTGCTGCAATTTTTGTCACATAGCTCATTCTCATGTTTTAAAATGCTCACTATCATACTAAGTAGATATGTTATTTTCTATTCCAGCCGGAGATACTTGAAATTGTAGAAAGTGCAAAAATCCCTGAATTCGCACATTTCCACACCATAGAGGAGGCTGAGCAGGCTCTGAGTGGTCAGTATGAAATGAGTGACAAATCTAATGGTGATCAACATGTAGGCATGCCATTGTTACAAGAAATGGAGAACAATCCCACTGTCATTGTTGTGGATGATGATAACTTAGCAAAAGACAAAGCTGCATTGAATGATGACTATGCAGTTCAGGCTGTTAACGAGGCTAGTTAGGTGGTAGGAATGGTGGGGTCTGGTGGTCTCTCTAATGTTTAGAACAACGCACAGAATTTGCAATACTTAAGAACTAGAATGTTACTTAGCAGTTGATTTATATTTACATACTTAGTTTTAACATTGGGGGTTTTGTGTGGGATGAAAATCTGGGAAATGGACTGATTTGATCAAATTAAAAGATTATCTGTTTGTCCATTTCATTTCTCTATGGAATACATTGTTGTTTATAAACATGGGCTTCATAAGGGAGTACTTATAATCAAATACCCATGTGACAAAATTTATCTGTATAAAATATTTAATGGCCTCTACATATGAACAAATTTAGTGATACCTGTTTGAAAAGCACAAAGTTTTATGTGTAGTTGTGTATTGCAACAGTTACCTGTGCCATATACAGTAGAACTCACAAGTTAGAGAAGTGGTTTTTAACCACAGAGTTTTCAATATTAGTTATACAGTTTCACACTGATTAATTGATATTGTGGATATGCATATGATGGTATATCAAAGACATAATGTTAGCTAATTGCCAATATCTACTAAATGATTTTACAGCACTGCTAGGTATTGATGGAAAATATTTAAGGGCTTCCCAACTTTGTGGTTAGTTATATAAAGGGGTATAAAATTATTTTATAGTGGCACATTTTAAAGTTGTTTATATATTTATCTTTATGTATATATATATACACATATAATTATATATTTAACATGTTATTGGTATAGTTTGGAGTTTTTATGCTCATTGTCTTTACCAGTGGGGATATTTAATTTAAGAACAGTACAGCTGTCACTTTTATTTAAAGTTAATTTAATGGAAACAAGCATTGTGTATGCTTACATCAGGTGCCACATATTAATTATGTATAGATATTATTTTCACAGTAGTGCCTTTTCCCTATATGCCTTGTATAATCTATATTTATTTCATTTCTACTTTCAGAAGAAAAAAAGCCTCTGTTGGCTCGAGCACATAGTTCTAATGCTACAGATGGTATTATATAGTTTCAGCTTTTTTTTCTTGTAATTCCAGTGTGTTTCTTTATTGTCTTGCAGCCAGTCTTTTTTTATAAATTGTTAAAAGTTATCTGGATATAATTTATAGCAATAACACTGTCAACCATGAATCAAAATCATTGGCTGTAGAGATATTGAGAAACATTCTGTTGAGATTAGCTTTACAAATCTGCATTATAAGCATGCACTGCCTGAAAGTTGGCTAATGGCCATACCATACTAATGTATAGCAAGAATCTTCACCTCCACGATGCCAATTCGCATGTGCATAAGCAAAGTCAAGATGCCACATGAATTGAGTGCCTATAACCATTGCAAGCTCCTGGTTCACATCTGTGTTAAATTTTCCCTCATTTGCATTAAAAAATTTTATGTTTATGAAATATTCCATGATTAAAGCATAAGATTGGAAATCTGGCATTGAATTATACTTGCACCACTTAAAATGGCCACTATTTTGTGCATTGCTTTAATCAAACCAAATTTTGTCTAATTCTCTCAAAAAGAATCTCAGAATGATAGCTTTCATGGTTGAGCTCCTATGACTTTCCTTGCAGGTGCAACCTAATTATATATATACATCTGTATAAAACAGATATGTGATAAGTTATGGGTGACTATTAGTAATTCAGAAATTAGTTTTTTGTTCAGAAACCCTTGTGATTATGTCATTGAGATTTATGTCTCATATAGAAAGCAGTGATAAAAACTTATATCAAAATTTAGCAAAAATTGATATTTTTTGTTTAAAATACCCTGTTTTGAGATCACTTTATATAATATTTGCATGTTGCTCACTATATATAAACAGGAGCAGGTAATGTTCTGACCTATTAACTGCTAGTCTTGTTTAGTAATAGTTTCCTAGATGATGTTGCTTTTGACAGATTTTTGTTTTTCTCATACATAGTTCTGGTTTACCCTTCTGTGCACTAAAACAGATTTTTTTGTTTTTGTTTTCCTGTGAGTGGTCCTTTCAACATGTTTCTTTATTAAATATAATATGCATGACAGAGCATGATTCTTTGTTCTGTTGTAATACTCTAAAATAATGTGATTTTATGTTATTCCCAAGTTTTTCAAAGGAAAAGAATAGTATTGAATAGTTGGTAGATGCTTAACTTTTCAGAAAAAGGAGATTCTATAAAATGTGATACAGGGTATTATCTTTTTTTGTTGAAAATTATGCCAAATAAGCAGACTTCATTGTTTCTGTATATTCATAAACATTCTATAACCTGTTTTCTGAGAACACAGCTGTTGTTATGAGGTTGAAATCTTAAATTTCAGAAAGGAGTGCAACACCGTCTAGATATATGTCAAGTAAGTTGCAATATTTTTGATGAACTTTAGAATGATTTATGTGCTATTTTAACACTTCTAATGCCTAGAATTCTCACATTTGCAACTGTCTATTTAATTCATGTTGTTTCACTTCAGTAGAAATGATATTGATTAGTTATGAACCTCAGGTTGTGAACTGCCACAGTTATGTACAAGTTGTTATCATATGATGTTTATCATATATTTTGTTTAAAGACTGTAGAATCCTGTCAGATACAAAGTAGGCATTGTGTGAATAGAAATGTATACCTTCATAGTGATTAGTCAAGGTGCATTTAATATTATCTAAAATTGAATCCATATTTAAAGCAACTTTAAAGCAACTTTAGTTTAGATTACATGCCAATCATTATTAGTCCAATAAGTTTTGCACCCTCTACAGTGCACTTAATGATACCTGAGTGATTAATTGCTGGACATTTTTGTGATGTAAATTTTTCTGAACAACATTGTATGAAAGTTATGTTTAAAAAGAAGAGGTTCCTGGATTTCTATATAATATGCTCTACTCTATAATATGCTCTATATTGTTTGCTTTAAGATCTGAAAACTACTCATATTACTATTTCTGTTCTGAAATTGCTGTTAATGCTTCACAGTGGTGTATTTTTATGAATGCTAAATCAAATTGATAAAATTGTAGTATTTATTGCAATTTTAAAGAATTCAAACCTTAATTATCTCCCTCTTTGTGAAAATTAAACTAAGATTTTATTTTATTATGCATTATGTATAACATTGGTTTTGTTTATAGTGGTTTGAAAAATAGCTTTACATATCTAATCTTGTTATGATAGCTGATGCTTTAATTTTTGACATTGTGAAAGAAAAAATTACTTAGCATCTAGAATCCAAAGTATTATGCTAATGTATGTTTTACATTTCTTGGGGTCATCTGTGAATTACTGAAGTCAGCTTACTAAAGCGTCACCATAGTATTATGCAAACTTGCAGGGGTATGACTCAAACGTTACAGATTGAACTCTTAATAAGACCCATATTTACTGGATGCCTGTCGAGGAACACTTGAACCAAGAACCAGAATTATATAGAAGATTTACACAGATAACAGTGGATATTCCTATCAAGACTGGATATTTTCAAGTGGATATCAGCATTTATTATTTTACAAACTTTTTAGAGGGAATGAAGATGTCCAAATGTGTGGCACATTATTTGGTTGTGATTGTAGTGAGTGTGGATTTAGAGAAAAAGTATACCATTTTTATGGGGGTATTTAATTTTTTTTACTCTACAAGGTTAAATTGCTTTACTAATGCCAGATACCTGTGTATATGCAGAAGATTTTTTTAGAATAAATAACTGTATTCTGAAAATGTTTTGTTATTTTTAAATTTTTATTTGTGTTGGAAATATAACACTTAACAAATTTGTATTGTCTTGTTTTTTAATATATTGTGTTTCTTTGGATCAGGTACTCTGTATGTTATGTTTCCTGTTTGCTTAAGTTTTTACTGTCTTTCTGGTTTGTTTGGATTTTATACTAGCTAACTTTCTTTTATTATATATATTTATATTCTGCTTAATATCTCTCTATTTATTTATTTATTCTCTGTATTATAATTTGTACTACTCTGCTGTAAAATGCATTATGGTATTCTGTATTTTTTTTTTTTTTTTTTTGTTTTTTTTGCACTAGCATTTACTCTTTACATAACATCTACTTTTGTCTTGTGTGCGATTATAATTGTTAAACGCTTTGGTTCACATTTCATCTGTTTTCTCTACCTTGTTATTAGTTATAATTTTCATTGTGCTGTCAATTATCTATTTTGTTAACAACCTGGTTAATATAATTTTATATATGTGTGTCTTGTGGTAGTTGATGCATTATATTTTCTTTATCAAATTAACTTTAAGCAGGGTTTTAAAAAAAAGTTTGTTTGCACTTACTAGCAATGTAATCCACTCTCACATATAACTGATAAATATTCAAATTAGAAGACCATCTTAAGGTCTTTTACATAAAGCTTGGAATGCTAAGAAAAAGGATGTGGGTAGCCCTGGAGACTTACACTCTTCAGAAAGTGAAACACGATTCTCAGATGTCCAAAGTAGACCAATTTACTTATTACCTACATATTTTTGAAAACTACTGTAATGTTACAATGTAGTAAAAAGGAGGGTCTGCATGCATGCTTATTATTATTTATTACTAAACATGTTTATGTTTTCACTTTTATATAATTTTTGAAAAATACATATTATGGGCTTAGATATATACTGTGCAGTTTTACCCTTGCTTTGATGAACTATTTTATGCATGGTAAGGTATGAGAATGTGTTTGAGTGTCAGCTAGCACACTTATTGACTGACAACTGGTGTTTGCTGTCTCCTCTAACACACTATCTATTGTGTGGTCGCCTCTAACACAAGTCTGCTATAACATCTATTTTAGTATTATCTAACACTCATTGGTAGATAGTTTTAACTGGTGCTGTTAAACTAGAGTGTTGTGTTTATGTTAGTCATATGTACAGCAATGCATGGGTTTGTATACCATTGCCTTTTAAATTGGCAAAACAACATACATGCATGCATGGTACTGGTAGGTGTACACATGGCTCCAGCTTTTCACTTTACTATAAACATGTAAATACATGGTCAATATGTTGGAGGTTTCTACTATTGATCCTATTGTATTAATGTCTGTTTTTCTCCTTGCATGTTCTCTTTTTGTGGTATTGGCATCTAATAATTTGTAACACTTTCTTCTTGATTTATTGCATTTATTTATTCTGCTTGATTTAATGGCACAAGTCCGTTTTATTAGGACAAAGTTCATGTAAATTGATAAAATAGATAGTATTGTGACTAAAAACAGATACACAGTTTGCTTTGGTGATATTTAAATGTTGGTATTGCACATTGCCATACTTGAGACACTAGGTCATTGTAGAAAAAATGTGAATCTCACCACTTGACTATTCAAAAAAAAAAAATTTTTTTTTCACCTGATGGCACCCTCATTTTGTTAGCTGTAAACTCGTCCCTATTACTTTCATTTCTGTGCTCTTTCTAAATGGAAAGTGTATGCTGCAAACTTGTATGATCAAATGCTATATACAGAAAGAAACCTAAAACTATTTTCAGTAGCTATACTTTGGATGGAGAATGTTCATCCTCTTATTGTAAAACTTTGCTATAAATTTANACTTATAGCAATAACACTGTCAACCATGAATCAAAATCATTGGCTGTAGGGATATTGAGAAGCATTCTGTTGAGATTAGCTTTACAAATCTGCATTATAAGCATGCACTGCCTGAAAGTTGGCTAATGGCCATACCATACTAATGTCTAGCAAGAATCTTCACCTCCACAATGCCAATTCGCATGTGCATAAGCAAAGTCAAGATGCCACATGAATTAAGTGCCTAAAACCATTGCAAGCTCCTGGTTCACATTTGTGTTAAATTTTCCCTCATTTGCATTTTTAATTTTTATGTTTATGAAATATTCCATGATTAAAGCATAAGATTGGAAATCTGGCATTGAATTATACTTGCACCACTTAAAATGGCCACTATTTTGTGCATTGCTTTAATCAAACCAAATTTTGTCTAATTCTCTCAAAAAGAATCTCAGAATGATAGCTTTCATGGTTGAGCTCCTATGACTTTCCTTACAGGTGCAACCTAATTATATATACATCTATATAAAACAAATATGTGATAAGTTATGGGTGACTATTAATAATTCAGAAATTAGTTTTTTGTTCAGAAACCCTCATGATTATGTCATTGAGATTTATGTCTCATATAGAAAGCAGTGATAAAAACTTATATCAAAATTTAGCAAAAATTGATATTTTTTGTTTAAAATACCGTTTTGAGATCACTTTATATAATATTTGCATGTTACTCACTATATATAAACAGGACCAAGTAATGCTCTGACCTATTAACTGCTAGCCCTATTTAGTAATAGTTTTCTAGATCATGTTTCTTTTGACAGATTTTTGTTTTTCTCATACATAGTTCTGGTTTACTCTTCTGTGCACTAAAACAGATTTTTTTGTTTTTGTTTTCCTGTGAGTGGTCCTTTCAACATGTTTCTTTATTATATATAATATGCATGACAGAGCATGATTCTTTGTTCTGTTGTAATACTCTAAAATAATGTGATATTATGTTATTCCCAAATTTTTCAAAGGAAAAGAATAGTATTGACTAGTTGGTAGATGCTTATCTTTTCAGAAAATGGAGATTCTATAAAATGTGATACAGGGTATTATCTTTTTTTGTTGAAAATTATGCCAAATAAGCAGACTTCATTGTTTCTGTATATTCATAAACATTCTATAACTTGTCTTCTGAGAGCACAGCTGTTGTTATGAGGTTGAAATCTTAAATTTCAGAAAGGAGTGCAACACCATCTAGATATATGTCAAGTAAGTTGCAATATTTTTGATGAACTTTAGAATGATTTATGTGCTATTTTAACACTTCTAATGCCTAGAATTCTCACATTTGCAGTTTTGCTATATAACTGTCTATTTAATTCATGTTGTTTCACTACAGTAGAAATGATATTGATTGGTTATGAACCTCAGGTTGTGAACTGCCACAGTTATGTACAAGTTGTTATCATATGATGTTTATCATATATTTTGTTTAAAGACTGTAGAATCCTGTCAGATACAAAGTAGGCATTGTGTGAATAGAAATGAATACCTTCATAGTGATTAGTCAAGGTGCATATTATATTATCTAAAATTGAATCCATATTTAAAGCATCTTTAAAGCAACTTTAGTTTAGATTACTCGCCAATCATTATTAGTCCAATAAGTCTTGCACCCTTTACAGTGCACTTTATGATACCTTAGTGATTAATTGCTGGACATTTTTGTGATGTAAATTTTTCTGAACAACATTGTATGAAAGTTATGTTTGAAAAGAAGAGGTTCCTGGATTTCTATATAATATGCTCTACTCTATAATATGCTCTATATTGTTTGCTTTAAGATCTGAAAACTACTCTTATTACTATTTCTGTTATTGAAATTGCTGTTAATGTTTCACAGTGGTGTATTTTTATGAATGCCAAATCAAATTGATAAAATTGTAGTATTTAATTGCAATTTTAAAGAATTCAAACCTTAATTATCTCCCTCTTTGTGAAAATTAAACTAAGATTTTATTTTATTATGCATTATGTATAACATTGGTTGTGTTTATAGTGGTTTGAAAAATAGCTTTATATATCTAATCTTGTTATGATAGCTGATGCTTTAATTTTTGACATTGTAAAAGAAAAAAATTACTTAGCACCTAGAATCCAAAGTATTATGCTAATGTATGTTTTACATTTCTTGGGGTCGTCTGTCAATTACTGAAGTCGGCTTACTAAAGCATCACCATAGTATTATGCAGACTTGCAGGGGTATGACTCAAACGTTATAGACTGAACTCTTAATAAAACCCATATTTACTGGATACATGTGGAGGAACACTTGAACAGAGAACCAGAATTATTTAGAAGATTTACACAGATAACAGTGGATATTCCTATCAAGACTGGATATTTTCAAGTGGATATCAACATTTATTATTTTACAAACTTTTTAGAGGGAAGGAAGATGTCCAAATGTGTGGCACATTATTTGTTTGTCATTGTAGTGAGTGTGGATTTAGAGAAAAGTATATTATTTTTATCGGGGTATTTAATTTTTTTTACTCTACAAGGTTATATTGCTTTACTAATGCCAGATACCTGTGTATATGCAAAAGATTTTTTTAGAATAAATAACTGTATTCTGAAAATGTTTTGTTATTTTTAAATTTTTATTTGTGTTGGAAAGATAACACTTAACAAATTTGTATTGTCTTGTTTTTTAATATATTGTGTTTCTTTGGATCAGGTACTCTGTATGTTATGTTTCCTGTTTGCTTAAGTTTTTACTGTCTTTCTTGTTTGTTTGGATTTTATACAAGCTAACTTTCTTTTATTATATATATTTATTCTGCTTAATATCTCTCTATTGTTTTATTCTCTGTATTATATTTTGTACTACTGTGCTGTAAAATGCATTATGGTATTCTGTATTTTTTTTTTTTTTTTTTTTTTTGCACTAGAATTTACTCTTTACATAACATCTACTTTTGTCTTGTGTGCGATTATAATTGTTAAACGCTTTGGTTCACACTTCATCTGTTTTCTCTTCCTTGTTATTAGTTATAATTTTCACTGTGCTGTCAATTATCTATTTTGTTAACAACCTGGTTCATATAATTTTATATATGTGTGTCTTGTGGCAGTTGATGCATTGTATTAAATTTTCTTTATCAAATTAACTTTTAGCAGGGTTTTAAAAAAGTTTGTTTGCACTTACTAGCAATGTAAGCCACTCTCACATAAAGGTCTTTTAAATAAAGCTTGGAATGCTAAGAAAAAGGATGTGGGTAGCCCTGGAGACTTACACTCTTCAGAAAGTGAAACACAATTTTCAGATGTTCAAAGTAGACCAATTTACTTATTACCTACATATTTTTGAAAACTACTGTAATGTTGAAATAATGATAATGTAGTAAAAAAAGAGGGTCTGCATGCATGCTTATTATTTATTACTTAACATGTTTATGTTTTCACTTTTATATAATTTTGAAAAATACATATGATAGGCTTAGATATATACTGTGCAGTTTTACCCTTGCTTTGATGAACTATTTTATGCATGGTAAGATATGAGAATGTGTTTGAGTGTCAGCTAGCACACTTATTGACTGACAACTGGTGTTTGCTGTCTCCTCTAACACACTATCTATTGTGTGGTCGCCTCTAACACAAGTCTGCTATAACATCTATTTTAGTATTATCTAACACTCAATGGTAGATAGTTTTAACTGGTGCTGTTAAACTAGAGTGATGTGTTTATGTTGGCCATGTATACAACAATGCATGGGTTTATATACCATTGCCTTTTAAATTGGCAAAACTACGTACATGCATGCATGGTACTGGTAGGTATACACATGGCTCCAGCTTTTCACTTTACTATAAACGTAAATGCATGGTCGACATGTTGGAAGTTTCTACTATTGATCCTATTGTATTAATGTCTGTTTTTCTCCTTGCATGTTCTCTTTTTGTGGTATTGGCATCTTATAATTTATAACCAGTGTTTGCCTCTTAGGAAAATTAGTTGCTGGACCGAAAGTTCAGTCATCTTGAAAAATAGCTGGCTCAAATGTCTGCCGGGTGGGAAAACTTCTCAGCCCGTTCTGAAAGTTGTCAGCCCCGGGCAGACGGTCCAGCCTTAATTTCCAACACTGTTTATAACACTTTCTTCTTGATTTATTGCATTTATTTATTCTGCTTGATTTAATTGCACAAGTCCGTTTTATAAGGACAATGTTCATGTAAATTGATAAAATAGATAGTATTGTGACTAAAAACAGATACACAGTTTGCTTTGGTGATATTTAAATGTTGGTATTGCACATTGCCATACTTGAGACACTAGGTCATTGTAGAAAAAATGTGAATCTCACCACTTGACTATTCAAAAAAAAAAAAATTTTTTTTTTCACCTGATGGCACCCTCATTTTGTTAGCTGTAAACTCGTCCCTATTACTTTCATTTCTGTGCTCTTTCTAAATGGAAAGTGTATGCTGCAAACTTGTGTGATCAAATGCTATATACAGAAAGAAACCTAAAACTATTTTCAGTAGATATACTTTGGATGGAGAATGTTCATCCTCTTATTGTAAAAATTAGCTATAAATTTGTTTTATTTGAATTTTTCAGTAAATAGAGACATTGGATCGGTTGGACCTCATGTGATTGAGATTCCTGAACAAATGAATGGCATTGACAAGTCTGCTACCTCCATCTCCCCTCTTGTGTAGGAAGAAGAAACATCAAAGAAACTGGGTCAAAACTGTGCTTTTTTTGTGTTCAGCAGAATGCATACACTGTAAGACAATTTTCAAATGACTGGTGCTTGGGCTATAGATGTTGATGCACACTTGGAGAACCACTAAAGAGATCCATAAGATCACTGATGAAAAAATATTTTATCATTACTGAAAATAGATTATGGAGACAAGTTCTAAAAACTAATGTACTCTGTGTACAAAGTGAGCACATGCACTCTCTGAGCTATGACAGTTGTAAGAGGGCCAAATAAAGGCTCCAATAAACATTTTATTATTATTATTATTTTAATGAAAGGCAATGTACACCAGTTATCAAAGACTCTGATATCAAAACATGCAATCGCTTCAGGACCATTTGCTAGTGTGCAGTTCTCCGTGTGAGAGGCATGTGCTGTAATGTGTTTGACAGGCAAAAGTGTGGATTATATTGGTTTATAACTCACTGAAGTGGCAATCCTGGGGAACAACAGTTTCAGATTACATTTTCTGACACTTCAAGTTTGCATCTTTGCTGTGAACAGAATGACAGTTGGTCATTAATTATTGGCATTGCTCTTTCAGTCAAATAAAATGTCATAAATCTATTTAAAATGACCAGCAATTACAAAAACAGGTAGATTTCCAAACAAGTATTTTAAAGCAGAATTACACTTTAGTTAAACACTATTCCATTGTATACTTATGTCATAATTTAAATAAATTATTTGGTAAGTTTTTAATATATGTTTATTTAAATACTTCTGGATGATTGTGAAAGAAGTATTTATTCATTATTTCTCTTAAGCAAAAATAACTTATCATTATGATATTGATAATTGTAACATCAGTCTTGGGTCATTGGGGATAGGAAATCGGTAAGTTTTTTTGAAAACAGTTAGGGTTCCAGATAAACATTTTAAAACAGTTTTAAGCCATTTTGATAGCTGCTGTCGATGTAAACAAGGTTGTACATTAACATCTATGAGAATGCAGTCACATTAGCCAAGCTATGGAATGGAACATTCAGAATTGATAATTAACAGGATTATGTACTCACATTTTTTAAAAATAATTAAAGAGAAAAATTCTATTTTTTAATTTTCTGTAGAATGTTTTTATCATTTTTCGCATATCTTTTGAGTATGCTAATTACCCAGTCTTTTCAACAGGAAAAATTGTAAATTCTACAGATACTGTATTTTTTAAGTCATAATTTCTTAAAATCAGAATATTCCTATTGAGTGGTAGCAACCAAATTAAAAAACAGGCTACTTTTCTATGCAGTAAAAGAGCCACAGATGCAATAAAATCATATAATTTTTGTGATTATAAAATAATGTATCTGAAAGTTTGATAATTCGCCAATTGAAAAGATCCGAGTAATTGCCGTAATACAAGGTGATAATCCTTCTAGCAGGTAGGCAGTACAAACAATCACCTATTAAGAAACATTTTGCTTCTAGATATATATATATATGTATGTGCAAATACTTGCCACACTGGGAAAGTCCTAACATTGCTCTTAGTTTAAAGTAGGTTAGGTTTAGATGTAAGGGAACATAGATGACAGTAGGTGGGTTAAATTTTGGTTTAAGGACATTTTTATTAAACTTACAGGGAAATATTCTAAGATATTATTATAAGTGTTGCTAAAAAACAACTACTCAAACACATTTTATAACTGGTTTTGATTATTGTCAAATGATTTTTATTTACTCTGTTCTGCACAGTGAGGAAAGGGGGGAACTGTGTTATTGCTGTTTCTACCCTCATGGTTTTATCTTAGACTGCATTCCCACAGATTTTTAGATTGATCCATCCTTGTGAGGAGTCTCACTAGATTGCTGTCAGCTTAGCCAGCTTAAATGTCTGTCCCGCCTACTAAAAGCTGTAAGGGGGTAATTAACTTTCCTGCGCGATTGGCTGACAGCAATTTAGCATAAACCCCCAGGGAGTTAGCTCAATCCAGATGGATCTATCTAAATCTGTGGGAACCCAGTCTTAGTGTTTCAAATACCATCACAATAAAAACTAATATTTTACTTAAATTTATCGTATTATTTATTCTGTATTAAGCATTTTATGAAAACTGTCCAGTAGTTTTAACTGATATCAATCCCAATTTTAAATTTATTTCAGTGATGTTTTAAAGTGATTACTTACACCTTATATTGTATCTATGTGATAGAGTTGCATTTATGAATGCCAAAGTCACAGGGGTCTTGTCACATGAAATGATAACAACTCATTAACATTGTAAGGTTGATTTTCTTATAGTATAATGCCAAATCAAAGTTAAAAATCTGTGATACATTAAAATTGCTGCAACATTTTTGTATTGTCCATGTTGTTAAATAAAGGGGCCACTTGGTTGCAACACAACAATATATAATAAACAGAATATGCCCATAAATGCAATAACAAAGAGATACTTTGCAAAGGAAAAATGTTGGGAATACATATGTAAAGGGTTGGCAACTTTCAGATTGCCTTAAGTATTAGTTTCCTTTAATTGAATGGTACATAAAAATTTTATCCTGATAATAGCCCAATTGGTTTTCTCAGTCACTAATGAGATTTCCTATGCTTTGCCATACTATGTATGTAAATAACTTCAAACATTGATAAATTAACATTTCATGTTAAGGCGTGACCATGACTGCTGAATCTGCTTAAACAAGGAGCCTAGTTTGGATGAAATGTTTCCTAAATAATGAAATTTATAACTCATAATGGAACCTGTGCTTTGCTTTCTATGGAAAAAATAATCTGTCATTTACCCTTTTATACAACCTATAATTACCACAAGGTAAGTTCATTTTTAGTCACACAAAAAAAAAAAAGATATATGGTTTTGTATTTATTTTCTAATACAAAATATCAAGTATAAGAAATGCTTTTTTTTTTCTTTGAAGAATATCGACAAAAAAATGGAGATAAAAGCCAAAGTTAAATTTGTGTAAAAACCAGTCTGAGGATAATTTACAAAACTTTGACTTCTTCAGGATTATAAACTTACAAACAATATCAAATTGTAAGCCAAGGGCACGAGACTTCAACAATATGCAAAAATTTTGTTTTTTTATCCAAGGAAGGAGAAAATGAACTGAACAGGTCTAGCAGGGAACAGCTATGCAGTCCTTTCTCTCCCTCTTTTTCTTTCTTCTTCTTTACTGCTGGCACCTGGAGACTAAACGCCTGAATCCCCATCAGCCAACTATCTCTTTACAGTGTTGTTGAAGCCACTTGACTATCTCTTCCAGCCCCTGCCCGTCTTTTGCACTAGCTTCTATTATGCTAATATCCTGCTTAGCAGCACCAAGGATACTCTTCAGCTGAAACGTTGTGTCAAGTTCTGTCCTGGTCATAGGATTTGGCATGTCTCTGAAAGTGAATTCATTTACATAATTTGATTTATAGAAATTTCCTAACTTCCCAGGCATGCAGACATGAATATATACAGTAAATGCCTCAACCAGCAAAAGATTACAAAGTTTAATTTTTAGTTTTTTTGTAGATATAAACTCTGAATACACTTATCTGCTGTACCTATCTCTTCTTTAAATGAGAAACATGAGACTGCTGCTAACATTGGTCATCTGATATTAAAGGGATAACTCTTCGTATGAAATCTATATTTCACTTTAAATACATTGTAAACAACTCATAGAAATATATTTTATTTTACTACAAAACGGCAGTTATAGTAATTATTCAGGTATCTGTGCTTGTCATTGGACCACGTGACCTCCATAGCTGGCTATACTCTTAAGAGATTATTAAAAAAAAACAAAAACAGGGACTAACTTCAAATGTAGAAATGGGTTCATTAACTAGTATTGGTAAATATGGAAAAATTGTTGTCTACCCCAGGAAAATTCATTTTTTGGTCAAAATGAACAGATGTTATCCTTTTAAAAATTTGCAAATGTCATACTCTGTTGTCACAGAGCTGAAGTGTGAGTGGTTAAAGATAACTTACATTTTGTTGAGTATGAGAAGGACGGGAACAAATTGCACATCTCCGTTAGTTAAAGCTTCTAGCAGCTGTATACAAGAGGCAGACACCTGCATTCTGTTTGACACATCAACTACAAACTGTGAAATAATAAAATATATTTTAATGTGTTAAATATCTACAGGTTCATACTTACGTTTACTCTAAATATTAAAGATATTTCAAACAAAGGAGTCTAATTTCATAAAATTGTCACTGACATGACAAAAATAATTATTTGGCTAAAAATGCTAGTGCATATATAATTACTAAATTTTGTCAAAAGGAACCTAATAAGTAATGGATAAAACACAATTTGCCATACAGAATGAAGGTCCAAGAGAAAACCACTTGCAGGTAATTCATTTTAAAAAGTCACTAAACTGATACCATACAAGTATGGTGGGATTCTTACTATAAGAGCACTGCACTCCTTGAAATAATTCTTCCAGATTGGTCCCATACAACCCCCCATTTCTCTTAGTGTGATGTCATGTTTTCTTCCCATACTTATGTTAACTAGATTTGTGCCTACCTGAAACAAAAGAAAAGTACACATTGGCAGTTTGTGACAGTGATAGATTATCATAAGAGAATTGCTATAAATACATGTATGTAGTATGTACATGTAAGGAAGATTTAGTCTTCTACTGGTACTTTCTCCAATTTACTGTACCTTTAATGGGATTTCTGTGGGTTATAATTTATTAAGTATTATCAATTTTGATCTCTGCTTACACTTGTTATGTAGCAAGGTCATCCTTTATATAAAATATCCTCTCAACTTCAGAGATCATTTTAAAATGTATTTACTATATACCAGTACTTACTGTGGGAATTGTAGATGGTGGTTCTTCAAGATCCGTGTATGTCCCCTTGCTTGAACAACTTAGGTTAGTTAAGAAAATATTGGCATATTTGCCTGGGCACTGAATTTCTAAATACTGTTAGGTAAAAATATACCCTTTCCCCCAAACACAACATCTAACTTACATGTAGATATAGTCACACGTCGAAATCGGTGAAAGAAATTTCACTTTCATTGTTATTAAACTTTCATACAGTCTTACGTCCTAAAAGCCTTTATGACTCTCACCACAGGAATAATGAACATAACATTAAAAAGGATATTACTTAGCCTTTTTAGCAGCAACGTTTTTCCTACACCCGAGGCACCTAGGACTAGAGTCATCCTCACAAAACATAAGAACAACACAGGAACAGGAATGATTACTGTGATTGACACCAGCTGCAAGGTCATACAAAAGGTCAACCGCTTATGTATTTAACAAATTTACTGTTATTATCTTTCAGTATATTTAGAAAAGTTTTTGGTCCATATCACAGTTGAATTTTCAGTGACAATTGCCTTTAAAGCACACAGGGAGAAATTATTATAACTAATATTTTTGTTATGACATTTGCGGCCCAATGAATGACATCACTTCGGGAATCGCCATCTTTATCACTGTCTTTCATCCTTGAGTCATTTTAGCTTAGCCAAGAGTAAGATATGTTTCGATCAACAGCGCCGTTTGACAAAGCCTTAGGTAAGTTATTTGCGTTATTTTGTCTCCCAAGCAAGTCGTTTTAGGGGCCAGACATGAATTATTTTCATAAATTAAAGAGCCGGTTTTTTTCACAAGAATCGGATTCTTTGACATATTCATAATCAGGTCAGTGTCAAAGTCTATCTGATCGAATATTAATGTTGTCGATGCATGAAGTTATTTAAAGACACCATTATGGTGCAGAATTACAGAATGAGGTCACTTCCACTCTTTCGTTCTAATTGCAATTTGTTTAGATTTAAGTTGTTTAGCTGTAAGTGAATATTTGTTTTATAATTGCTAGGAACATCCATGCAGTAGCACTCTTATTTATTATTAATAAGTACTGAATGTGCTAAGTTATGAATAAAAAATGTGTAGAAGTTGTTTTCAGCTAGGACGTCCACCCAATGGAGGATTTCTCTAATATTTTTGATGTAAACTATTCTCAAGCACTTGCCCTGTCAGGCAATAAGGTCTGAAATCTGCTAGCACGAAATACCTGCATTAAGGATTTTGATATATTATCTACATTGTGCTTATGCATGAAAGCAAAGGCCTCAGAAAATTAAAAGTAACGACTAGTTTACACACTAAAACCATACCTCTTATACCTCTCCTGTCCTCAACATGCACACTCCTGTAAAGCCAACCAGCTTTTCCATCTAGAACTGTGAGTAAGGTAATATCTACAGTACATGTACTGCTTGTCAACACCCAGAAGGATGGTGCAGTATTTTTCCCTCCAACAAGCAACATTGTGTAAAGAATCGAGTTCAATATAGGTCCCATGAGCAGCATACAATAGTTGGTTTCAGGGTGGGGAAAATTTTTTTGTCTAATTTGTCTCTTAAGAAGTCTGTTTGTCATCAGAGAAATCATGTGTATGATTTCACGACGGCTTAACTGGTATGAGTGCAGATGGATATTACCTGTGCCGGGCAGGATATAGATTCAAGGAATTGTGTCTATACTGCTGCAATATATCTACAAGTAAAGAAAAAAGAAAAGCTGATGAAAGAAAGTTTTTACAAAGCATATGTGTGGTTAGGTTAACATGCATTTTTTCAACTGTCCAAATGAATATTTCAGACAAGGCCACAAGTCAGCTACTGCTGGAACCAGACTGGGATGCCATCCTGCAAATTTGTGATTTAATTCGTCAAAATGACATACAGTAAGTAGTCTTTGCAGCATTTGTTACTTTTTTAATATAATGTAATATAGAATGGTGGACATTGAACATTTAAATTTAAAAACTGTGATGTTTTTGATGACCCCAGTAGCCCATTCATTTGACACTCAGTTTCATATCATTTAAATATTTTAGAATAATAGGAGTTAAAAAACAATTTCAGTTTTGAATTTTTTTCTTGTAGACCAAAGGAAGCAATACTGCGAATGAAGAAAAAAGTTCAAGCAGAAAACCCTCATGTGGCCATGTTTGCACTTCAGGTGATTTTTTTGTTAAATAAATTAATTGACAATAATTTAGCTGTGAGTAATTTAAAAGGCCGTCAGTTGTGTTTTTATAGATTGCTTAGCTAAAGTGAATTTATATCAAACTGATAACTGTGCTATTTGGATAAAGAGATCACGAGAGAAATTTTTAGATAAAAAAAAGATAGAAAAGAAAGAAAGAATCTCTGAGTGAGAAAAAGATGGGGGAGTGGAGGAAGGGGATGGACAGACATTACAACATGTTGTAGTTAATATTATATGGATAATATTTCTATTCAGACCTTGGAATCAGTGGTGAAGAACTGTGGAGATACAATACATAAGGAAGTAGCCACAAAGGAGTTCATGGAATTCATGAAGGATGAAGCTAAGGTATAAAAACTTAATAAGTTATCCTTATGCATGAACTTGTACTTGACATATCAATTAAACTGAGAATATAATGGTGCAAGTGCATTTGATCTCTTAGTAGAGGAATGCTATTGGGTTAAAACAGCACTAAGATCAAATGAGTTATTCAGTTATAACTAAAATGGAATTATTTTAAACTGCTTTCTTTTGTAGAAGAGACCAGATCCAGTCAAGGGCAAAGTGTTAGAGTTGGTTCAAGTCTGGTCCCATGCATTCCGCAATGATCCAACTCTAAAAGCAGTGCAGGATACTTACCACTTGATGAAAATGGAAGGTAAGAGTATTTTCAAGTTATGTACTATATAGAACTTGGAAATGAATTTCATCAGCTGTGTTGTGTGCTGGGGTATTCAGAATTTACTATATACAACTTTTTTTATTAATTACTATAAATCTCTATAGGTTTAAAAAAACATGGATTTAAGCACTGTTCACTTCTTGTTCAGGTTGATTTATAAACTTCAACTTTGAAATTCATGGAACTGTTGTTTTTTAAGGTGCCAATATTTTCATCTGTATTTTTTGCTAGGCTACAAGTTCCCTACTTTAAAGGAATCTGATGCCATGTTTGTATCAGAGAAGGCTCCTGAGTGGAAGGATGGAGAAGTTTGCTTCAAGTGCAGAGTCACATTTAACACTTTTAATAGAAAGGTAATTCATGGATCTAGATAAAAAGCATTCTTATACATAATGTGTTTATCTCTTCAGTTTGTATGACTCGAGTTGAAGTTTCATTGCACTGTGCTATTCAAGGAAATAATTCGCATCTTAAAAATTATAACAGTTGGTAAAGATACAGTTCTAATAGTCAAAATCATTTTTTCAGCATCATTGTAGAAACTGTGGTCAAGTGTTCTGTGGCAAATGTTCATCTAAAAATTCCATAATTCCCAAATTTGGGATTGAAAAAGAAGTTCGTGTGTGTGATACATGCCATGAGCAGCTGGGCAAGTAAGTAATATATCTGATACTTATGTCAATTTTGATGTATTTTCCTAGAAGCTTGAATGTTTTTATACAGTTGTGCATTATGTACTACTTGAGAATTCAGTAGCCTTAGCTTTGTACCTGAGACCCTGAACTCTAGTATCTGTAAACATTTCGTGACCCCTTATGTAAGAGGTCTGATTCATGAAACATTTGCTGGCAACACTGTAGCATATAAAATGTTTCAACAAATGTGGATAATGATTTTTCTTGATAGATAGAAAATATAAGAAACATAAAATTTTCCAAGTCAATATTATTTTGGTGGAACATGTGGAATTTGTCAAAAAAAAAAAAAAAAAA